ATCCTGTTGTTTTCTTATTAATGGCTTTTGAGAACTCTTTCTATATTCTGGATGCAAGCTCTTTATCAGCTATATGATTCACAAGTATTTTTAAAGTGCAGAAACCTTTTAATATTGATGAAGTCTAATTTATTAATTTCCTCTTAAGGAACATGCTTTTGGTGTCACATCTAAGAAATCTTTAGCTAATTCAAAGTCACTAAGATTTTCTTCCATCTAGAAGTTTTAAAGTTCTTTTTTTTTTTTTTTTTTTTAGATTTATTTTGGAGAGAGAGAGAGCACACGTGAGTGGAGGGTCAGGGGTGAGGAAGAGAATCACAAGGAGACACCCTGAGTGCAGAGCCTGATGCAGGGCTTGATCTCACAACCCCAAGATCATGACCCAAGCAGAAACCAAGAGTTGGATGCTCAACTGACTGAGCCACCCAAGTGTCCCTAGAAATTTTAAAGTTTTAAGTTTTACATTTAGGTCCATGATCCATTTTGAATTAATTTTTTTAAGATTTATTTATTAGAGAGAGAGAGCAGATGCATGCATAATCACGAGTGGAGGGGGAGAGGGAGCAGCAGACTCCCCACTGCACAAGGAGGCTGACACGGGGCTCAGTCCCGGGACCCCAGGATTATGACTTAAAATCAGGGCAGACACTTAACGAACTGAGCCACCCAGGCACCCCAAGACTATCCTTTCCACTATCTACTCTGAATTACCTTTCAACCTTTGTTGAAAATAAGTTGTCTATGCATGTACAGGTGTATTTATGGACAATGTTCCATCAACTTGTCTATCTTTGTGCCAATACACCAGGTTGATGTATTGAAATAAGGTGGTGTCAGTTCTCCAACTTTGTTATTTTTTAAAGTTTATTTGACTACTCTAACTTTGCATCTCCATTTGAATTTGCAGACTCAGTCAGAAGTTGCAGACTCAACTTCTGAAACCGAAAAAGCCTTTGGGGTTCTGACTGGGATTATGTTGACTCTATAGATCAACTATGGAAGAATCCACATTTTAACAAGATTGAGTCTCCTTAGATGCCTCTCCATTTGTTTTAAATGTTCTTTAATTTCTGTCAGCTGTGTTCCATAATTCTCAATGTATACTTTTTGCACATCCTTTGTCAGATTTATTTTTTAGTATTTAATATTACTGATGTTACTGTAAATGTCATAAATTTCAAATTCTGTTTGTTGCTGATTTTGTTTTAAATCACTCCCTCCTACTTATTAAGGCATGAAAGGCACAAATCTTATAACTCAATAAAATTTTACATCTGAATACATTAATGTAACTGTCACCTTTATCAGATGTGTAACATTTCCTACATCCAAGAAGTTTCCATCACAGCTCTTCCCAGCTAGATCACCTTCTGGTATCCCTCAAAATAATTTTTATCTTCATATAAATGGAATCGATCAGGATGTACCCTGTCTGGCTTCTTTAACTCAACATTATATGTGTGAGGCTCATATAGATTATTGTGTGTATTGGTAGTTCATTCTTAATCAGTGCTCTATAGTATTTTTCTCCTATCAAATGGCATTTATTTCCAGTTTTTCCTACTATAATACTGTGATTGGTATTTTTTTTTAAAGATTTTATTTATTTATTTGACAGAGATCACAAGCAGGCAGAGAGGCTGGAAGGCGGGGTGGGGGGGGGGGGGGGGGGGATGCAGGCTCCCTGCTGAGCAGAGAGCCTGATGCAGGGCTCCATCCCAGGATCCTGAGATCTTGGGCCGAAGGCAGAGGCTTAACCCACTGAGCCACCCAGGTGCCCCTGTGGCCAATATTCTTGTACACAATCATAAGTACTCTTTTCTCTTGGGGATATGCCCAGTGATAGAATTACCAGGTAATAAGGTATATGTAGGACTAGTTTTAGTAGATAGGGTCAAAAAATTTTCTAGGGGTTCCTGGCTGGCTCAGTCAGTGAAGCATGCCACTCCTGATCTTTGGGTTGTAAGTTCAAGCCCCACACTGGCTGTAGAGACTACTTAAAACTTAAAAAACAAAAAAACCTTAGAAAGTCTTATAAAGTAATTATAACCATTTATACTCCCACTAGTAATATACACAAGTTATAGGTGTTCCACTTTACCAAGGCTTGCTATTGGAATTCCTTTGTTTAAAACAATTCTGGTTAGTGTTTAGAACTGAAGCATGATTTTAATGTCCCTAATATAGCTATTGATGTAGAACTTCTTTTCATATGCATATTGTCCATTTAAATAACATTTGAAAATCAAAGTAATTCACTTAACATATTAAAGAAAAATAGATACAAACATTTCCATAAAGGCAGAAAAGGCATTTGCTATTGAATCCTCTCCCCTCTGATGTTATAGCTAAGAAGCCCATTATCACTATTCTAGTCAACACTAAATGAGACATACCAGCAAGTGAAAGACCAAGAAAAAGAAATAAAAGGTATAATCATTGCACAGGACCCTAAACCATCTTCATTAACAGATGACAAAATTATAGTCATAGAAATTCTAAAAGAAACTACAAGGTATTAGAAATAATAAGAGAACTTGGTAAGAAGGCTGAATATGAGGCTAATATGTGGAAATCAATACTGTTTCTATACACCAGCAACAAAGTAGAATATAAGACTTTTCAAGTGTCATTTAAAATTGTATTAAAAAGCCAAATACCCAAGTATAAATTTAATGAAAGATACGTGAAACCTCTACACTACAATTTACAAAACACGCTGGGTGAAATTAAAGACTACTAAATACATGGAAGGTGTATGATACTTTTTTTTTTTTAAGATTTTGTTTATTTGACAGACAGAAATCACAAGTAGGCAGAGAGGCAGGCAAAGGGGTGGAGGGGGAAGCAAGCTCCCCAACAAGCAGAGAGCATGATGCAGCCTGATCCCAGGACCCTGGAACCACCACCTGAGCCAAATGCAGAGGCCCCAACCCACTGAGTCACCCAGGCGCCCCTGTATGAATGATACTTATGGGTTGGAGAACTCAGTATTAAGATGTCAGTTTTCCCCAAACAGATCCATAGAGCCAATGAAAGTCCAATTAAAATTCCAGCAGGGTTTTTTTAAGTTGACAAGCTTATTCTAAAATTTATAAATAAATGGAAATAAACTTTATAAGATCTCTAAAATAAAGGAAATTACAAAGGACTTGGAATAGCCAAAGCAACCCTGAACAGTTCTCGGACTTCCAGACTTATTATAAAGCTACATTAATTATGACAGTCTGGAAGTGCTACAAGGTTAGACAAACAGACCAATGGAATGAGAACCTGGAAATAGGCCCACATATAAAGTGATCAGCCGCTTTGCAACAAAGTGCCAGAGAATTTAATTGGTGGCAATGACAAATGACAATCTTGTCAATAAATAGGGCTGGGTCAACTGGATATCCCCATGGGGGGAAATGAACCTTGATCCCAGTCTCCTACCTTTCACAAAAAAATAATGAGATAAATCACAGACCTAGATGTCAAAGTTAAATAAAGCATCTAGAAGAATACACACAGTATCTTCACGACCTTGGAGTAGGTGAAGCCTTATTAATAGGACACAAAAGCACTGAACACAAAAGATCAGCAAACCCAGCGAATTTTACCTCACCATTTGTTTTCACCTTTCTGTCCATCCCTACAATCACTGACCTACTTAAGAGGGTCACTTTGGCTTGTAACACTTCCCCAACAGTGTCCCAACAACTGTTCTTTTCCCTTTAATCATTGTTCCATAGCACAGACACAACAATACACTTCTAAAAATGCAAATTTGACTGTAGTTGCCTTTTTAAACTAGAAATTCTGTAGTGGGCTAGCACCGGGACGCATATTACATCCAAGCTTCTCCAAAGACCATAGGCTAGCCCTTTCTGACCTGGCATTTCACCTACCCCTCCAGTGAGCGTCTAACTTGAATTGTGGCTCCACCAATTTTAGAACTCATATTACTGTTTTTCTCATACACGTCCTAGTCTGTCCTAATTGTCTTTTCCATTTCCTTCATCCACTAATTCTAATTTGGCTTTCGAGGCTGAGGATCAGGTATCACACCTTTGAGGAATCCGTCCTTATACCTACCTAATATAGGGTCATTCCCCTTCTTTCACTTTAGCATCCAAAACAACTAGCTTAAATTTCTGGAGAGCATATTAACATCTTTGAATCCCAGTTAGTTTAGATTTTGGATGTAGTAGACACTCAAGTCCATTTACTTGCTAATCTCTACTGACTGAGAACTCACTCCCACTCCCTCCTCCCACCATGGAACTTGCTGGAAGCTTCTGATTTTCATATTTCAAAGGGCAGTAAGGGAGACTAAGACTAGGTTGGAAAAGTAGAACAGTACTGACACAACCTCAGGCCACCTTCCTCCCTTCGGGGCCTTCGGATGTAACGGGTTTTCTTTTCAATCGGAGACACCAACTACGAAAAAAGCCCCGCGCTGCCGAGTTCTGGGTAATGGCATGGTTCAACGGCACCGGAACCAAAGGACTCCCTTCCGTGTAGCATCCGCAAAGGCAAAAATGATTTCCGTCGTGTCCTCGTCGGTTAGGATTCCCAGCGCACAGATCACGGGATCTAGGCGTAAGCCGGAACTAAGCTCCCGGAAGAGAATCCGGCGAATGACGTCACGGATCGCGAAAAGCTGTGCAGCCCCCGGTAGCCATGATGAGAACTGTGGCGAACGGGGGCGAAAATGGGGCCCGACATGCCTTGTTATTAATAGACGTCCAAACTCTCCCAAACGGCCCACGTTCCTGTGGAATAACAGTATGCTACAAAAGTGCTTTGAAGCTACTACCGCTGACGGCTCTTTTGGAGTGCGGAGGCGGACTGGAAGACAGGGCCAGCGTGAATAGCCGACGCCTCCGTAACCATGGCTGCGAAGGGCGGGGACTGAGAGCGCCGGTCACGGGACCGGGGCGGGGCCGGGCCGGGAGACTCAGTCCTCCACGGTCCCAGCCGGCCCTGCGCACGCTTTTCGTCTCCCCTCCCCCGCCCCGCGACACGCTGCGTGGCGGCTCGTTGGCTACTTAGGACGGAAGCTCGCTTGGTGCTTCTCTAGAAGTTTCCCCCTTGGGCGGCGGCGGCGTAGCTCGTAACCTCGGTGGTAGCCGTTCTAACAGAAACAGCGATTCTTAGGGATGGCAGCAGGACCTGCAACAGCCCAGAAGTGCGTGTTTTCCTTCTCCTTGCTATTTAATTTTATCTCCCCCCGCCCCCACCACCACCACTTGATTAGTGAGCCTGTCGTTGTTTTTCCCCGGCAGGTTTTTCAGGAGCTTCTCAGATGCTCTGATCGAGGAGGACCCCCAGGCGGCGTTAGAGGTGAGAGAACCAGTCTCAGCTTCCTCCACTTTTCTCGGAGGGACGCGGCCACAACGGGTTCCGGCGGACTCCGCCTCTTCCCAGCACTGCCTGCCTGGGACCGGGGTTGCTCTCTTTATAATGGATCCGCCCTAATACTGACAGCCTCCGTCTCTCCTCGGTTCCATAGTGGCCCAGTTACCCCAGACCCTTGTTCTTGCCCCCTCCCATTCCTAGACCGTTACTGCATCCTCTTAGCTCCTTGGGAATACTTTATCTATTTCTGGGAGGGGCGTAGTTGACATTCATAGTTGGTCTGGAAGGAATTTTTTTTATTAATGGCATGTGTGATTAGAAGAAAAAGTGAAATCTAGGCTTGATGGTATTTGTTAATTCGGTTTTTCATTTGATAATCATCCTTGCCATTCTTACACACCAGATGCTGTGCTAAGTGCAGACTACTGGAACAGGAGCCGTTTCCCGTATGTGTCTGAATATTTCCAGATGTCCCGTTACTGTCCATTATTCACTCATTTATTTCTCGAAACTACTTGGAGTTGCTTTATGAAAGACACTGAATCCTATGGATGAAAGTCTTGTTTATGTATTTGACTTACAAGGCACTTTGTGTGAAGTGAATGACTGTAAAGCCAAAAAGAAAAGTCAAAAGAGCAAGAGTTAAGTAATTTAGAATAATAAAGAGAGCCCAAGCTAAGGATACATGATGCAGTTGATTGCAAAATTTAGGCAGGGTTTTTTTGCTTTGAGGCAGGAGGGAAAAAGGAAACCAAACCTTGTTGGGTTGTTATAATTCAGTATAAGTAAGGTTAGCAGTTTGAGGCAAGGGAAGTTTTTTTGCAAGCTAGGACCTTAAAAGAAATTTGCCACGTGGGTAGTAGAGTCCATCTGAAGAGGCGATAACTTGAACAGAGACCCGAGGGAGTGAGCTCTGGGAAAGAGCATTCGGGGTAGGAAAAGAGCCATTGCAAAGATCCTGAGGTAGGAATGAGGTTGGCCTGTACCAGGAGCAGCAAAAAGGCCCTTTTAACTAGAGTGGGATAACAGAGGACTAAGTGCTGAGGAGGTGGGAGGGAAACCAGGGGCTGTCCTATAGGGTTTTTTAAGTTGGAGTATGTTTTTTGGATCTAGATATGAAGGCCCTCAAATAAAATGGTTGATTCATCAGTTGTGCTATGATGTTTCCTAATGAGACTTCTGGGATCGGAATTAGAATAGAATTATGGGAGGCACTGAGCATCTTTCTTCACAATTCATTGTCAGCTAGACAGCTGTTAATTTTAGAATCTACGTTTGTTATGGTCCTCTTAGCCCCAGTGCTGCCTTTGGAAATCCAGTTTATATGAGTTGCTTTTAAAGGAAGTTATTGTAATGACTTTCATTGTCCCTTTCCATAAATTTTTTTTTGATGTATGCTATATTATAAATCTTAAGTCTGCAAATACTGAAGCTGTAGTTTGATGTATGTAGGCCCCCCCACATCAAGATAGAGAACACTTTCATCATCCCAACTCCCTCATGCTGCTTCTCAGCCAGTAATTCCCCTTACCCACCAGGTAACTCCTATTCTGATCTCTTTCAGCATCAGTTTTGCTCGTTCTTGTACTTCCCATAAACAGAATAATGCACTACTCAGTTGAGTTTGATACTTTCATGTGAGATAGGTCCATGTGTGAAATGGTATTTTTTCATAGATGTATAGTATTTCATTGTATAAAAATGGAGCACAAGTCTAACAATGGACTTTTGGGCTGTTTCTAGTTATTAGCTAGTATGAATAAAGCCACTGTGAATTTCCTTGTATATGTATTTTGGTGAACACACACTTTATTTTTCGGGGGGTGTATATACCTAGGAATGAAATTGCATAGAATAGGCATGTGTTTAGCTTTAGTAGCTTGATTCTTTTTTTTTTTTTTTTAAGATTTTATTTATTTATTTGACAGAGATCACAAGTAGGCAGGGAGGCAGGCAGAGAGAGAGAAGGAAGCAGGCTCTCCGAGGAGCAGAGAGCCCGATGTGGGGCTTAATCCCAGGATCCACCCTGGGATCATGACCTGAGCCGAAGGCAGAGGCAGGTTTTACTAGGGGCGCTACTAGGCGCCCCTAGTAGCTTGATTCTTAAAGTGTGGCTTTGGAACAGCACCAGCACCACCTGGGAATTTATTAGAAATGCATATTGTTGGGGCGCCTGGGCGGCTCAGTTGTTAAGCATCTGCCTTTGGCTCAGGTCCTGGTCCCAGAGTCCTGGGATGGAGACCCCTATTGGGCTCCCTGCTCTGTGAGCCTGCTTCTCCCTCTGCCTGCTGTTCCCCCCCGCTGGCACTCACGCTGTTTCTCTTTCTCTGTCTCTCTCTCAAATAAATAAATAAAAACTTGAAAAGAAATGCAAATTGTTGGACTGCATCTGAGATTATTGGAAGTCCTTACAGCTCATGTGGTGTAGTACTTACCCTTTCATTTTACAGAAGAAAACTGAAACCCAAAGAAATCCAAATGATCTGTCATAGAGATGTGTATAGCCAATTAGAAGCAGGAGGAGACCCTTAGGACACAAGTTTCCAGACTCTTAGTCTGGTGCGGTAGAAAAGTAATTCTCAAAGTATCATCCTGAGACCAGCTGCAGCAGCATCACCTGAGAACTTGTTAGAAATGCCAATTCTCAGGACCCACCACCTACTCGAATCAGAAAGTGGGAGTGGAGATAATGATCATGCTAAGAATCAGCTGTGTTAAGAGAAAGTGTTCTTGTTATTTTTAATTATTTATTTGAGAGAAACAGATTGGAGAGGAGGGGCGGACAGAGAGGGAGAGGGAGAATCTTAAGCAGGGTCCATGCTCAGCGCAGAGCCCGATGTGGAGCTAGGTCCCACCACCCTCAAGATCATGACCTGAGCCAAAATCAAGAGGCAGATACTTAATTGACTGGGCCACCCAGGCGCCCCGAGAAAGTGTTCTTTTTAAAGCTTGAGGTGACCTCACAGTTGACCCTTGAACAACCTGGTTTGAACTGTATTGGCCCATTTACATATAGATGTTTTTAATATGTGCAGTACTATAAATGTGTTTTCCTTATTCTTAATTTTTTTCACTAGCTTTATTGTAAGAATATAATATATAATATAGCATACAAAATATTTGTTGACTAGTCATTGATAAGGCTTCTGGTCAATAGAAAGCTGTTAAATTTCTGGGGAGTCAAAAGTTATACTTGGATTGGATTTTTGACTGGGAGGGTCAGTACCCCTAATATACCTCATTGTTGAAGAGTCAGCTAATCATTTTGCAATTCAGGACACTTGATACATCAGTTAAAATGTTACATTTTTATATAAGATCATCCAATTAGGATGAATGTTAGGGGAAATGTTTGTATCAAGCTGATCTACATTTTTCATTAAACATTTAATAGTATATATTAGTGGTGAATTTTGCACTGGGAGCCAGGGATCTAAAGATGAGAAGACTGCATTGAGGAAGTTTGCAGTCTAGTAGAGAGATCGACAAGTCAACAGATTATTAAAATACGACGTAAATATTTTAATGGAGTAGTGTATGAAGTACACTAAGGACATAGCAGAGTAGAGGCTAATCAGGGTAATCAGAACAGCTTCACAGAAGATGTCTCAATTCACTAGGAAGAGAAGAGTGAATTATGAGAATCTTTTGAGGCCCAGTATGAATAGTGGTTAAGAGCATAGGCTCTTGGAGCAGCTAGCTGGCTCATTCGGTGGAACATGAAACTCTTGATCTTGGGGTTGTGAGTTTGAGCCCCACATTGTGGGTTGAGTTTACTTTAAAACAACAGCATCAGAAACCCCTCAGCTCTGGATTCAGAGTGCTTGAAGGATCCAAATCCTGGTTTCATAATAATTCTGTAGCCTCAGGAAAATTCCTTATGTCACTTTGGATCAGATTTCCTTTCTGTGAAGTGGGACTAACAGGACCTATTTGAAAGGGCTACAATAAAAATGAGTAATGTAAGGTACAAGATGAGGTCCTTGAGGTAGGCATCTTGTAGCTTCTTTACTCTCTAGATTCTAGCCACACTTTTTTTTTTTTTTTTTTAAAGCTTTTATTTATTTATTTGCGAGAGAGCACACAGGCATGAGTAGGGTGAGCGGCAGAGGGAGAAGCAGATTACCTGCTGAGCAGGGAGCCCCATCTGGGACTTGATCCCAGGATCATGACCTGAGCCGAAGGCACCTAAGCCACCCAGGCACCCCCCAGTGCTGTCTTTTTTTTGACAGAGACACAGTGAGAGAGGGAACACAGGCAGGGGGAGTGGGGGAGGAAGAAGCAGACTTCGCACCGAGCAGGGAGCTCGATGTGGGGCTTGATCCCGGGACCTGGGATCCTGAACTGAACCGAAGGCAGACGCTTAACAACTGAGCCACCCAGGCGCCTCTAAAATGTACTGTCTTGTACTGTCTCATTTTTCTCGGAGATGCTCATCACTTGTGATTTCAGCTGACATGTCACCTCAAAGAAACTTTTTTTCTTGGACCACCCTATCTAAATTGAGCCCCGTTGTAAGCTCCAAGGTGGCAGGGGGTTTGTGTGTCTTTTTTTTTTTCTTTACTACATTCTCCATGTAGTGCCTGTGATGTGGTAGGTAGGCACTCAGATATGTTATGTGAAATGACTTCTACCATAATTCTTGTAACAACTGAGGTGGGTATTTGCATTTTACTCACAAGGAAGCTGAGACCAAAGAGAGTCACTTGCTCAGCGTTAGTTGAGAAGTGACAAGTCTCTGGGTTCAAGGCATTAAGGGTCTTCCTCTGGAGGAGGGGATAGGTCTAAGGATGTATAATATAATTAAAGGTTTGGTAGCTGACTTTGAAATAGCTGACCATTGATAGCTTTGTTCAGAGCATTGAGAATGTAGCTGGTTAGCATAAATACAGTGTTACCTGTTTTGCATGGCTGTGTGGTTTTTCTTTAGCAGTGCTAGGTGGTTTAAGAAGGGAGAAGGGCTGGTACTCTTGTTTATCATCTGTGATTGGGAGATTAGCTGTGGCTAGAAGAAAAATGGGAAGTGAAATCAAATTGAGATCCCCAGAGCTACATGCCTTCAGCAGTTAGGTCATTCTGAACAGTCTGCTTTTGCTTTTAACCATAACAAGTTAACTTGTTGACTAGCAGTTTTAAAAAGCCTCAAACTTTAAAGATTTAGAAGTTCACTTTCTAAAATCTAAGTTTTAAACAATTTTAATGCCTTAAAAAGGATTTTTCCCCCCGTTTTGGATTGTCAAGGTACTTCCTTCACCATTATCTTGGTAAAGATTTCAGTGTAATTATATTTTATAGTTCACTGAGTTTCTTTATTTTTGAGAACTATAAGTTGCTTGACTGCAACTTACTTTATGTAAGTTTATCTTTAGACATGGTTACATTATGTTTCCCATTGGTCTGCATTAAATAATGGCCTTTTGCCGCTGTGATTCAAATGATGCCACTGAAGTCCTTGCCTTTGAGATACCTCTCTTTAGTCCTTTGTACTCTAGCAGTGAGCAACTGTTGTCACAGAAACAGAACTCTCAAAACATGCCACAAGTCTGATGTAGTTAATATAACCGCAGATCATTTTTTTAATTTCACTTTTCCTGGTTTTATTACACTGTTTATTGTTTATTCCAAATAAACTGTTTTGTGTTTTAAGACTTGCATTTGTGTGTCAGTGTTCAGTTTGTGTTCTGTGTTTTGATAACTTTTCAAAATAATAGCCTAATAAGTGAATTGCTTAGTTTACTTAACTGAATCACAAAACTGGTTCTCCTTAACCAACAATTGGTGTGTGTTTTTAAAGGTCATTTGCAAGTTGGTTGTTTGAAAATCAGTTTTACTTGATTCCATTTTATTTATCTTTGTACCCCCAGTGTCTGGCCTGTGTTTGTTACATAGTATATGTTTAAAAATACATATAAATTGATGAACCAGAGCCTAGTACAATTTATAGTAGCTTTTTGACCCATGATATATCTGTTTTCTTGCTGAGGAGAGGCTAGAAATTTGGTTTGGATATGTATTTGGGTAGATAAATAAGCTATCACAGGTTTTCAAAATTGTTGAAAGTTTAAGTGCAAGATGGTATTATTTAACTTGGGAATTTCAAAGTGTTAAGAAACATTAATACAAATGTCATTGCTGTGTGAAAGATACTTGGATTAAAGAAAGGTTACCAAGAGGCAGTGTGGTTTGGTGCTTAAAAAATCAGATTTGGAGTCAGACAGACCTGGATTTTACAGGCTTGTCACTAACTAGAAAGTGAGGGAATGGATCCTCTGAGCACATCTGGGGAAGAGCTTTCCAGAGAGAGGGAGCAGCAGACACAGAGTCCTGAGGTGTTTGAAGCACAAAAAGGAGGCCATTGTGGCTAGAGTAGAGGAGCAAGAGGAAGAGTATTAAGAGTTGAGGTCAGAGAGCTAGCGGAGAGTTATATCAAGGAGGGCCTTGAAGGTCACTGGAAGAACTTGGGCTTTTGCTTTGAATCAGCCGAAAAGACATTGGAGAGTTTTATGCCTATTGACATAAACAAGATCTGATTTTCATTATTGCTTGGATCAGGATGATAGAGATGGTGAAGGTAAAAAGTGGTTTGGATTTTAGCTATGTTGCATTTTAGGTAAACGATTATCAAGAATAGTATAATTTGCTTTTGGGGGATCATGCTATAAAAGCAGAATTAGTGACGTGTCATTATTGAATTTTACTTTTCAAAATTTTTTAAATTTTTATATGTTTATTTGACAGAGTGAGAGAGCACAAGCGGGGGAACAGTAGAGGGAGAAGGAGAAGCAGGCTCCCCGCCAAACAGGGATCCCAATGCGGGGCTCAACCCCAGGACCCTGGGATCATGACCTAAGCCGAAGGCAGATGCTTAACCATCTGAGCCACCCAAGCGCCCCTGAAGTAATTTTACCTTTTAAGAAAACTACCCAGATCCCTAGGATGTGTGAACACTGTATAGAGAATCAAAGCATTCCTATTTGCCTACATTTATCCTTGGCCTCACTGATCATGCTATCACTTCTTGCATCATTATTGCTCCAGCTACCACTTATATTCCCTGACTGTCCAGGGTGACAAAGTTTTAATCTCATGTTAAATCTTGATCATTGATGGTAGCTATGAGGTGCTGTATCTGGGCTATCAGCAGAATGTGGTAATTTCTTAGGGTTGTTTGCTATTGCTAGAAGATGGGAGAGGGACAGATAAGCTTCGTTGTGTCTTTATTGATTCTGTTAACTTCCTTGAGCTCTAGATTCAACTTCCAGGTTTTTTGGGTTTTATTGGACAGTTTCATATTTTCTAGGCATCTCAAAATCTACATGGTCTTTGAGTTTTCTTCAAATTGGAGAAAATCTGCTTGTCAATATATATCGTCTAAAGTCTTCAGAATAAATGAGGTGATAGAAATTACCATTTATTGAGTTCCTACTATAGGCCAGGAATTGTGCTAAGATACTACATTAGATTGTGGATTTTGGGGGGGAGACTGGAGAAGGGGTGATATTGATCTTCTTGCCAAGAAACACTCCAAGATTATTCTGTTACCTTTCCTCCAAAAAGCTTATGGTAATAGGTTATTTGATTAAAAATCATGTTTAGGGGACGCCTGGGTGGCTCAGTTGGTTGAGCAGCTGCCTTCGGCTCAAGTCATGATCCCAGCGTCCTGGGATCGAGTCCCACATCGGGCTCCTTGCTCATCAGGGAGCCTGCTTCTCACTCTGCCTCTGCCTGCCATTCTGTCTGCCTGTGCTTGCTCTCTCTCTGACAAATAAATAAATAAAATCTTTAAAAAAAAAAAAAATTAAAAAAAAAAATCATGTTTAGTTAAAATTCAGATGCATTTAGGGATGCCTGGGTGGCTCAGTGGGTTAAAGCCTCTGCCTTTGGCTCAGGTCGTGATCCCAGGGTCCTGGGATCGAGCCCTGCATCAGGCTCTCTGCTTGGCAGGGAGCCTGCATTCCGCGCCCCCCCCCCCCCGTCTCAGCCTGTCTCTCTGACTACATGTGATCTTGGTCTGTCAGATAAATAAATTAATTTAAAAAATAAATAAAATGAAATTCAGATGCATTTAAAAACATTTATTAACACTCAACATGTTTGTTTTTGTAGGAGCTGACTAAGACTTTGGAACAGAAACCAGATGATGCGCAATATTATTGTCAAAGAGCTTACTGTCACATTCTTCTTGGCAATTACTGTGGTAACTTTTCTTACTGAATGTATTATTTTTTATTTATAAGTTATAAATTTTACCTGAGATACAGTGAATCAAATACAATAGAGATCATTTTTGAGGATTTTTAAATTGGTCTTTCATACAAGGTGTGAAGTAGCTGAAACATGACAAATATGTTGAGCAACACCCATACAAATGTTCTGGGTGTTTCTTTTTCCTTCAGTGGATAGAGAATTTATATAGTTTTCATTTGTAGTTATTGGAGATATTAACAAAAATAGCATCACATGTGTTATTTTAGAGACTATTTAAATAAAGTGCTCTTATTTGTAGTTTTTATAAAAAAGAATGTGTTTATATATTACTTGTGTAACTTTTAAGTTATTCTGGGTAGAGAGTCTAGGTAGGGAAAAATTAAACATCTTGAGTCAGATTACATAAGTGATGGTAATGAGAAAATTAGATGAATTTTGTGACACAGCTTTATACATTGACTGAATAGCTTTAAAAAGAAAGCTAAATATTAGGCTAATAAGGTGTGAGAGTGATTTTTTTTGGATTTTATCTTGGATTAGTTTTTCCTAATTTAAAAGCATTTGTCCATTGCACTAATTTGAAAACTTAAAAATGTAGGGCTGATTCAGATTTTGTGTGTAACTTGTTAGGATCCATAAATTACTGACTAAAACCCTCTTTTTTTGTATGTAGATGCTGTTGCCGATGCAAAGAAATCTCTTGAACTTAATCCAAATAATTCCACTGCTATGCTGAGAAAAGGGTATGCAATAACTACTCTTCTAATTGGGTCTGGACTACCGATTGTAGGTGTTTAGTTCATTGAATGAATTTTAAGTTTTATGTAAATAGTGAATTCTGTATTTATACATTTTATAGCTGAGATAGGATTCATTTTTAAATATAATTTTATACTTGTGTTAATTGTAGTATGTGTGTTTTGAAATAGTGGTGGTTGAAGTAATTACAAGGAAAAGATGAAACTGATGGATTTCAAATCCTTTTTTCATTCATCATTTGGAATTTATTGTATTTAACTGACTAGAGAACATCTATTTGTCAACCAGGCTGGATAGGCTACATTTAATACTGTGAAAGCCCTTTATCTCTGTACTTTACATCCCAGCTTGTTTCTGTTGATAAGTGTAATTTTATTCTTAAGAAACTTCTTTGGTTTCTTAGCATAAGTATATGTTGGAATAGGCAAGTGTACACAATGAAATCAAGAAATTCCTTCTAAAATGAGTTCCAAAATTTGGTTTTAATGAGAATTAAATTTAATGTTACAGTATATTAGAAAATCTCTTGACTTACTAACATATAAATTATTATTATTTTTTTTTACCAATAGAAAATATTAGGATATTTAATTTAGAAAACCTTTTTGCATGATCTCATGTGTGTGTGGTATTTGTTTTTAATATGCTTATGCAGGATATGTGAATACCATGAAAAAAACTATGCTGCTGCTTTAGAAACTTTTATAGGAGGACAGAAATTAGATAGTAAGTATTGGAATTATATGTTAATAAACTAATCCATTATGGCTGTGTTTTAAATATGATGGCAGAATTTTGTTAGTGTGATCCCAAGTTCATTGTAGAAACCTAACATCTTTTTTCTTACTGACATTTCCTGTTGATTGCAAAATTTGAGTTTACTTAAAATTGATTAAATTGGCCTTTCTTTAGCATTTAAATCACAGATAAACTTTACGATTAGAGGTTAAAAACGATATATAAACAGTGTGCTTCCTCTACTTAGTCTGACTTTATGTTTTTTCTAATGGAGAAGTGAAAATTTAATTTGCTCTCATTTTCAGAAGTCCTTTCGGTTTAAGTTTTTCAGGTGACTGAGATAGGAAGCTTTACAGCAGACATTTTTATTAATAAGTGAAGCATCAGTTTGGGTAAATTGTGGTGGGTAGAAACTTGGAGCTTTGAGAATATTGTGAGTTTTTAATGTCAGCTTCAGAGAAGTATATGAAAATTAGCAGTATGGATGTCTCTGCACATGTGTAGAAATTTTAAGAGCCAAAAGGCGAAAGAGTCTACAAAATACGGAAAGAAGTTGTAAGTAACCTCATAGATGATTGTAGAGTACCTAATCAAAATTGTGTAGTACCATTTTATCTTACTCTAATGATAGCGTTTTATCACAGTTCTCTAAAGCAATGGTTCTTAAGTAGGGATGATTTTATTTCCTGGGGGACATTTATTAATGTCTGAAGAGATTTTTGATTATCGTGACTGGTGAATAGGGATGTCCTATGGATACCTAGTGAGTGAGGCCAGGGATGCTAACATCCTATATTGCAGAGAAGTAGCTGGTCCAAAATAGTAGAGCTGAGGTTCGAAACCCTCTCTAAAGTATTAGTGAGTATGTTTTTATATTTTAAAAATGTACTCTTGTATTGCTTTGAATATTTGCTTTCCTGTCATGTACCTGCTTGAGAGAGGACAGTGGGCCCAACTTTGCAATTGGAGCCTACAAATTAAGAAGGAGTTGTGAATGGTACATGAGTAATTTGGCTATTTACTAAGCAAGCCAGCATATCTGCACTCTTTGCAAATTCTAAAGAGTCTAGTTATCCTGTACCTTAATACATATTTGAAAACCCTGAAGAGACATGAAGCATTCCATCTTATAGATTTCTAAGCCCTGTTCCTTATTTTTTTTTTTTTTTGAGCGATAGAAAGTTCATCACCTAAATTGTTTCCTTTATTAATATTTTACTCCCATTGATTTTTTTTTTTTTAACTGCCATTAATTTTTATCTTAGAATTATTTCAAAATCTGCTTCAAATGAAGGTATCTGTTTTTGGTAAAATTGCTTTTAAGGATATTTTTATTTAAAAAAGATTTGTCTTTTAATTCTAAGGAAAATTTATGTTAAACTGTTAGGGTTCCCTTATTAACAGACAGGGTAAAAAAAAAATTGTAACTCAAAATATTACCTTTTTTCTTTTGGTATGGTAGGAAGCTTGGTTTTACTTACGGATTAAATTTGAGTAATAGGTTTTTCAAATCTAGGATTTTGATAAAATTGTTACCCCCACTAGAAGGAGCGTGTGTGTATATATGTGTAGGTGTTAGTTACGGCCTATACAGTTGAATTTCATTCATAAATTAGTGTTCTAAGAAATTTTTATTTTTCAGAATAATCTTGCCTACAATTTGTTTGAGTTTGCAAACTTTTATTGAGCGTACTTTTAATAATTTTTAACATTATATTAGATTAGACCCTGTACTGTTTGGATTATCATTGTTCTGAGTCTTTAGAAATTAATGATTTGCTTATGTACATGTTTACATTGCTATCTCTAAGTATATAGTTCACCATCTGTAGTCTCTGGGCTGCTGTGGAATCTGGAGATATGACAGAACTGCACAAAGTACAGAGGTGTTTTTTGGTGTTGGTAGGAGTGGCATGGTAACAGGAAAAGCTACTGAGAGAATAGTAGATAGAAGAAGTGGATAGCTGCATTAGAGAATAAATCTGGGGTCAAAAGAGGCTTCTAGACGTTGGTCCAGCTGTCTGGTACCAGGCTTCCATCCCACACTAATTGATGGTGTGTTGGGTATCTAATTCAGGTCTGATTTTGTTGTGTGAGAGGAATCTCCTTTAACGGGAGAGGGGTGAGGGGAAATGTATTTGTATTTGTATCTGGAAACCAGTAAGGTTGTCTGTGGCTAAAACCAATTTTTTTTTTTTTAAATTAAAATTCTTCAGCATGAATGTCTTAGGTTTTAAATGTATTAGTATATTTATAGCTCTAGTGTTATGGTTTCCATAATCCTGTTAGGACAAATATTTTTGTCTGATTTATTGCTGAATCCCCATTGCTTAAAACGTTGTTTGGAGGGGCGCCTGGGTGGCTCAGTGGGTTAAAGCCTCTGCCTTCAGCTCGGGTCATGATCTCAGGGTCCTGGGATCAAGCCCCACGTCGGGCTCTCTGCTCCGCAGGGAGCCTGCTTCCTCCCCTCTCTCTCTGCCTGCCTCTATGCCTACTTGTGATCTCTCTCTCTCTCTCTCTCTGTCAAATAAATAAAATCTTAAAAAAACAAAAAAAAAAACCAAAAAAAACACTGTTTGGAACATAGTAGATATTCAGTATTTGTTGAGTGAATATGTTAGATGCTGCTGTTGAGTGAGTGATGTTACACTCAGTTTGTCCGTTCTAGGTACAGATCCTGATTTCACTGTCTGGGTTAAAAGGTGTCAGGAGGCTCAGAATGGTAAGTATTGTAGGTTTCCCATGTCTTTCAGTTTACAAAGAAGTAAATTTTTGACATTTTTGGATCTAAACAAATTTGTTTTTAACTTTACAACTTTATAAATCATAAATTTAAATAGTGTGTTTTCCCTTAGATAGGGATTTCCAAGGTTTTGTTATGTTGAAAGGGTGATTTGGATGGATTTGTCTTGTAGTTGTGTTACCAGTAAGAAATTACTAAAAGTCTGCAGTGAGTCTGGGATGCAAAATTAAACCATTTTTTTTTTTTTTTATTTGGAATGTGTGGAAAATTGGCTTATATAATCAGCTAGTATGTTTGTGCTATAGAAGTCATGTATGTGACTTTGCTTCTAAATGTACTGTTAAGTGGAAATGTTTTCTTTTTATATTTTTAATAGGATCACAGTCTGAGGTGGTAAGTACAAAATTTTTATTCTTCATATTCTTAATTATAATTTTGTCCTATATTTGAGACAGGACTCTGAATGGTCTTTCTTTTACTTAGATCTTAAACAATTCCATGTAAGTACTTTTTCCTTTAGTAACTGAAATAATACCATTTTTGGTGAAATGGATAATTATTGGACTTGTTTAATGTGTGATCAACTTGATTTGGCATATTTTAGTATGGTCAGGGTGGTTTTTTCTTTTCCCTGCTGAAAAGTCATCACTTTTAGGTTAAACAGCTGCTGCTTAGAAAGCACTTTCAGGGTTTATTGTGGTGTACTGAGAACACAAAAGTTAAGTAAAATTTGGAAATGTTTGTCTAATTCAGTCACATTTATTGTTTTGGATATGAAGATTTCCAGGTCTTTTCAGTCATTAAAAGTTATGGTGGAGTTGAAAGTTGCTTTAATTTTTTTTTTTAACCACTTAGGTTTATTTATAACACACATAGTTACATTATGCACTTAGGTTTATTTATAACACACACAGTTATGTTCTGGCTAGTGGTTTTTAGCAGTGATCATCTGCAGCTTAGTCAGTAAATAAAATGACAGGGAGTCAGGAGATGTATGTGTGTCTTAACTCTGTCGGCAGTTACTTAACCTACTTGGGTCTCTTCATGTCTGAAGGAAGATTTACATCTCTGTCTTTCAGAATTACATTGTGACATTGAGAAAGTCTTCTATTCTCTGGGCTTTCTTCATGTGTAAACTGGGCCTAATAGAGCTAATCTCCTTCAGGTTGTGAGCGTCAGGCCAGATATGTGTATATGTAGTGACTGGAGGTTGGAACATCACCAAAAGTGAGCCCTGTCTGGTTGTTCCTACACCTGAAAGGCTTTTCCATATTCCTAAGGGTGATGAATGAGGGAAGGATTTTTGGCTTCCTTTGGGGCACATGGGTGGCTCAGTTGACAAAGCATCCGACTCTTGATTTAGGCTCAGGTGATGATCTCAGAGTCATGGACTCTAGCACCTAGTCAGGCTCTGCACTTAGTGTGCAGTCTCCTTCTCCCTCTCCCTTTGCTCCTCCCCCTGCTCACTCTTGCTCACTTTGTCTATATAAATAAATGAAAATTTTAAGTAAACAAAAGTTGGTTTTCTTCACCTGCTGGTATTTCTGTTTAGGTCTTATAGTATTCTGTTTGGGATTGGAACGAGTCCTGCAAAAACAGAGTAGCATTCGGATCATGCTTAGTAACACAGACGGCTGTTTAGCCACAGTGCATTTTGTTACTGCGGTGGTTCACACTAGTTTAGTTTTATCTTTGCACCATGGTGAATGGGAATAATCTGCTCTAGTCATTGTCTCTACTTGATAGCACCTAGATTCAGGTATTTCTCAATAGTTAATAGTGGAGAGAAATTCTGAATTAGACTTAAATCTGTAGAAGGGTTTTATTTTGTTCCTCTAAACCCCATCTCTTCCCTATCATTGAGGGATGACTTAGAGGTCACCTATAACCCAGGGCAAGTTCTTTTGATTTACGAGGTCTTAACTGGACACATGTAGTTTAGGAAAGTATGGATTGGTCCGGAATCATGATTCGTTTGTTTCTTGATGGGCAGTGTAGAATTTTTGTTACTGAGATACCATAAGCACAGTAAGCTGTTATCTGGAAAGCACTATGGAAATGTTCTTTCATATATTCCAGAGCAGTGTTTGATGCCGCTGCTAAGCCTGAATGTTATACTAAAAAATGTGTTGTTTTTCTTTTAATTTTTTAAAAATGTCATTGTTTTTTTCAGATTAGAGAGTTAGCCTTGGAACTGGACATTTAAATGTAACCTTTTCCACTTAGACCTTTAGAAAGTTTTTTGTTTTATGCTTTATTTTTATTCTGAAAATTTTTTTTTTTACTTAAACTCAATTTAATTAACATATAGTGTATTATTAGTTCCAGAGGTAGAATTTAGTGATTTTTCAGTTGTATATAACACCCAGTGCTCATTCTATCAAGTGCTTTTCTTAATGTCATCACCCAGTTATCGCATCCCTCACCCACCGCCCCTCCAGCAACCCTCAGTTTGTTTCCTATGGTTAAGAATCTCTGGGGCGCCTGGGTGGCTCAGTGGGTTAAGCTGCTGCCTTCGGCTCAGGTCATGATCTCGGGGTCCTGGGATCGAGTCCCGCATCGGGCTCTCTGCTCAGCAGGGAGCCTGCTTCCCTCTCTCTCTCTCTCTCTCTCTCTCTCTCTGCCTGCCTCTCTGTCTACTTGTGATCTCTCTCTGTCAAATAAATAAAATCTTTAAAAAAAAAAAAAAAGAATCTCTGTAGCTTGTCTCCCTCTCTGTTTTCATCTTATTTTTCCTTCCTTTCCCCTTATGGTTTTATTTTAGAAGAAAAATCTCTTTTGACATTTTAACTCATAATATTATAAAAATGTTGATTATTCTTAAATTTTGTGATAACTTGTATTTTTAACAAGAATACTATGCTTTGTCTTTGAGGGATATGTTGCTGTAGTTATTCCATAACAAAGTAACCACAGCTTTGGGTAAATTAATAATACATGCATTTTTAATATATAGTTGCTAAACTAATTTGTAAAAATCTTTCTCTTGCAACTTGCCAAAATCAGTCTGCATCCCAGAGGACTCATCAGTCAAAAATCAAGTAAGCATTTCTTTTTCATAAACAATGCATGGTAAATATGGCTAAAGGAAAAAGTCCTGTTTAATAGTAAGCAAGTCCTTACCCTGTGCTGTTCGGTGTTTTTTTAGAAATTGTGTTTAGCCTGGGAAAACTAATTCAAAGGCTGTTTACTGATTGATAGTAGTGTTTATGTTAAGGTTGAATTCAAGTCAGTTCTCTACTTTAAACTTGCTTCATCTGGTTCCATATAATGTCACCTTTCCATGAATGACAAGAGCCTCTTCCAGTTGTTATTACACAGGTAAATAAATTAGTAGTAGGCTTGGCAGAATTGTAACTACCTGCTTTTTATATTTTAGAGTAAATTTTTCATAGAGTAATTCTGCATGGGTTGAAAGGGACAACTATTGCTCAGGGCAAAAGTTACAATAATGAATCAAGCATCTAGCGGGTATTCGAATTTATTTTTAATTATTCATTAGTCATGTGTACACCTTGTATTCTTAGGACTGTAATAGAAAGAAACCCAAGGCATTGATTTGGAGCTTTGCATCCCCACTGAATTTCAGAAGGAAATTTTGAGACTCTTAAAGTTTGTTTCTTTAATCAAGGTGCATTTTAATTCCTTAAAATGGTTTGGGAATGTTAAAACAAAAAGATCTGTTCCTGCTCTTTCTAGGGAGATTTAGGATGACTCTCCCAGATACCAAGTAGATAAGGAATTTGGACTAGCTTAATGGCAGCAGCAGGAATAGAACGGAAACATTAAATAATAATTATGTTTGGAGCATAACAATAATCCACCAGTATTAAACATTGATTTAATACTGGTTCTGTGTACCAGGCACTATGCTTAGTTCTAGGAATATAATAGTGGCAGGATAGATAAACTGCTCTGCCTCATGGGAGTTTATAATCTAATATAGGCTAATTTGAGAGTGAGGATCCCTGCATTTCTAGAGCCTTATGTGGGAAAGACACATAATTAGAATCTCTAGGCACATTAGTTTTCCCATGTACCTTGAAAGTGAAGGAAGATATGGTATTTAATGTGCCTGGCAGGATGAGTTAAATTTTAAGTTATTTTAATTTTAGCTCATTTGCTTCTGCTCCCTGTGTTCAGGGCTGTTTGCCCCAGCTTCAGTTAAGAGATTTTGGTGTGGAGTCCAGCTGACATGGGTCCAGTTTAACACCTGCCTGACTGGCTGATTGCTTTGCCCATCTGGGCCCATTTTTCATCTGTAAAAGAGGGATAGAAGTGCTTTTTCTTACTATTAGGTTGAAATGAAAGTGTAAAGCTGTTAATGGTATATAATAATGGTTTGCTGTTAAGAGTAAATTTCATCTTTAACATTAGCTTAAGCACAACAATATTAGAGATATGAGTCAGAGCCCAGAAAATCATGGAAGTATTTAAGTATCCTGGAAAGGTTTGAGGCATCATACCCTAATGTTCTTTTCCATTAGTGCAGATCAAAGAAAATTAGTTATATAAAATTGTTTCTGTGAATCACCATCTGCTTTGCTTATTTGTTCCTCAAGGTGGAGCTCTTGTTGTTTATCAGATTGTAGTTTTATCTTGACAAAACATAAAGCAGCAGCAACTTTAAGAAAATTAAATGTTCTGAGGTGTTTTTTCTTTTTTTTTTTTTTTTAATAGGTATGACTGGTATCAAACAGAATCTCAAGTAATCATTACACTTATGATCAAGAATGTTCAGAAGAATAATGTAAATGTGGAATTTTCAGAAAAAGAGGTTATTACAGTCTTTGAAACATTTTTTATTTTGAGATTAAATACTTTTATTTGGAAGTATAGTATACCGCAGAATAATCTATAGCAGTTTATCAGATATTTCTTCCTGCAATGTGGAAAATGCTGATGAAAATCTGAAGCATTGCTTTTCAGCTTGAATGATTTTAAATTTTGAGACAAATGTATACTGTAGGTTATAGCTAGATGTGCATTATCTTTTTTTTTAGATTTGAAATTCAAAGCAGAATTTGGCTGACACATATAAAAGACATTAGTAAGATGTGATTTGGTTACATTTGTATACTTTACGAAAAAGGTCTTATTTTTTGTGTGATTTATATGTCTTAGAATTTACTAACCACATTAAATTAGTGTGACTTGTAATAACTTGATTTCTTAGCGTTTAGTGGAAAACTTCAGTGATACTTAAGTTAGTGGCAGAAGTAGGTATTTTGCATATGAATACTTTCTTTTGTTACATTTTGTGTTGTTTTGCTCTTATATCTTGAGTTTTCTAGAGATTTAAATGTTAAATGAAACATACTGTGTTCTGCTTATTTAATTGTGTATGTGAGAATCCATGTAAAAGATTCCAGATAGAAAAAGATTATTTTGAATTTCTTAAATTTGATATTCCATAGAAAGTGTAAAATAATCAGCGACAGCATGAAGTTCTGTTATATTCAGTCTAAGTATTTTACCTTTCATTATATAAATTTATAAAATGCGCTGCTAATTTTGTCTTCATTAGTTGTCTGCTTTGGTGATACTTCCTTCTGGAGAGGATTACAATTTGAAACTGAGACTTCTTCATCCTATAATACCAGAACAGAGCACATTTAAAGTACTTTCAACAAAGGTAAGACAATTTTAAAAGAGTTGTCATTAGTGGGGGCATCTGGCTGGCTCAGTAAGAAGAGCATGTGACCCGATCTCGTGGTCATGAGTTCAAACCCCATCTTAGGTGTAGAGATAGATTTTTTAGTTATTTATTTTTATTTAAAGATTTTATTTATTTATTTGACAGAGATCACAAGTAGGCAGAGAGGCAGGTAGAGAGAGAGGGGAAACAGTCTTCCTGCTGAGCAGAGAGCCCCATGTGGGGCTCAATCCCAGCACCCTGGGATCATGACCTGAGCCAAAGGCAGAGGCTTTAATCCCCTGAGCCACCCAGGCTCCTGAGAGATAGATTATTTAAATGAGAAAAGTTGTCAGTAGTATTTTCAGAATAAAGAAATATTGGTCAACTAATTGCCAGTGTGATTATAAGCTTATAGATCCTTTTAAGCACATATCTTCAAATTAAAAGGTACAGGTAAGTGGGTGTCTGGGTGGCACAGTTGGTTGGGTGTCTGCCTTCAGCTCAGGTCATGATCCTGGAATTCCAAAATGGAGTCTCGCCTGGAGCTCCCCACTCAGTGAGGATTCTCTTTTTCCTTCTGACCCTCCCCTCTCTCCTGCTTTCTCTCTTTCACTCTCTCTCTCTCAAGTAAATAAAATCTTTAAAAAAGAAAGAAAGAAAGGTACAGGTAAATAAAAGAAAACAAATTTCGAGTAACAGTTTTCCCCTTCCCAGATTCTAGGACAATGAAATTTAAATGTTAGTTTAACCTCAGTAGTGTTTGTATACTTAAGATTGGTATATTTCTTAAAGAGGTCTTCCAAAAAAAAGATGAAATTATCAGCCTGTCTTTAAGATTTGATAAAGTCTCTTCTCTTAAACTTGGCCTGTTTTGATGTATAAATATTTTCTTACCCTATCTTAATGTAGTCAGAAATACAAACTACTATGAAGATGAATCTGCTTTTTTTTTGTTTTTTAATTAAGCTGAATTTTAAAATACTTTGTTATGAGGGAATACTGAATGATTTGAACTGCAGTTCCAGTAATTATATAATTTTTAGGTTTCTTTATATTTTCAAAAACGTAAAATATGCAGTAGAATTAAAATTCATAGAATGTTTTAGACAGCAGTCAGAAGATGTAGGTAGTATAAGTCGGACAAGTACTGAACTACTGAACTGAAAAATAAAAAAAACCTGACTCTGGTTCTTTGTTTGTCCTGTGAACTTAGACTAGTCATACAGTTATTATAAGACTAAATTTTCACCATCTTTAAAAATGAGAGGTATGGACTAAATGAGCACTGGAATTTTTTTCATCTATAAAATTGTGTGAGGATGTATAATGAGTTATGACAGCAGATGATTTAAGTAGACTTTTTCCATTACTATACCTTCTTTATACATGTCTTAGAACATAACTATGTTAGTAACTATTGAGTTTAAGTGCTAAGGACGTGAATTTTCCTATCCTAGAATAGAATCAGGATTGGCCTGCGTTTGGGAGAATATGATAACTGGGCCTGCAGAAAGAAGAGGATACCTGCAAAACATTTGAGCAGAAGCACAGAGTTAAGAATTGGTAGTTTTGGGGCACCTGGCTGGCTCAGTGGGTGAAGCCTCTGCCTTCAGCTCAGGTCATGATCTCAGGGTCCTGGGATGGAGCCATGCCTTGGGTTCTCTGCTCAGTAGGGAGCCTGCTTCCCCCTTTCTCTCTGCCTGCTTCTCTGCCTGCTTGTGATCTCTTTCTCTCTCTCTCTCTCTCTCTCTCTCTCTCTCTGTCAAATAAATAAATTAATTAAAAAAAGAATCGGTAGTTTTTTGCATCTAGTTAGAAGTGATTTCCCCACTTACTTGAAGATTACAAAGTACAGAGCTGTTAAATTATGAGTAGACATGAGAAGACACAGTTGTTTGGATGATAGAAAGTGAGAAAAAGGGATGAAATCTTAACAAGATTTTAGTCTTACCCCATCCACACAATGTAGAATTTGTTTTATAAAAGAAGTTGGGTAAATAATCAACCACAAAACTCTAGCTAGATTTGGGAGATCAGAAAGTTAAGGGTTTGGCATTTTTGTACATATTTTTACCAACAGGTTGTTAATGCACATTCTTTTGAAGTATAATAGATGGTAAATGACTTAAAAACTTGTGTTACTGGGTCTCCTCATGTAATTTATGGAATAATAGGATGTGATGGTAATGAATACACAAGTTTGTGTGGCTAGAATTAAGGATGTTACAAAGCACGGTTATCTCTCCTTAATTCTCCTTTGACTCTTGAGTGCTTGTTGTTTCTAACCATCTGCAACCCCCCTGCTATATTCCCAGTTTGCTTTTTTGATCCCTTCTTTCTTTAAATGCTACATGACTACTTTTCTTTTTTATATAGTAGTTCATGTATATATTTCATTACTCTTGCATCTAGTCTGTGAGGATAAGAAGCAAATCATACCCATACCTCTGGGTAAGGATATATCCCAGTTAACTCCACAAACTACAAAATGAGTAATTCTTTATTTATTGATCCATTTGCTAAATGATCCATTTGCTAAATTTGTCTAGCCCTGTGCGTTGTACATAGTGCTGGTCAGTAATTGTTCAGTGAATGAATTTAAATTGGATTCTAATGTTAATGCTTTGAGATTGATAGAGTATTTTTATTCTTCGTTTTAATAGATGAAAAGAAACTGAGGTTCCTGGACTTTTAAATGCTTTTCCCGAGTTTTACATAGTTACAGAATTGTTCATCCTGGCCCAAAAGGAATACTTCCCTGTCTGGAAAGCTAGTGCTTCTTTGTTTAGGTCTTTCTAAGTTCTTTAATAAAGAAGTAAAATTTTTAAGAAGTGTAATGGAAGATAATTATTTTTCTTGTCTTAACCCAAAGTAATATATATTAGTTTTGTTAGACTGCTAACTTTAAGCTGTGTTTTATGGGAAACAAATTGAAATAATTGCACTTAATTTTATGTTAAGGGAAATGAAAGTTTTGAATCTTTTTTTCATACAGCAAAGGGAGACTGTTTCAATACTGAAAGTAAAATTTTTCTTTGGGTTACTGAGGCTTATTTAATGATGATACTAAGAGAAAAATAAGTCATTTGATTTTCATTTGTATTTAGGTGTCTTGAATCCTATCTTGAATCAGAATGGTTCTGTTTAGAAGAATCTGGTAAAATTAGGGATTCCTTAAAATCTGTGCTTTAAAAGGCCTATTTCTTTGCTTTGAGAATTCAGTTTCTTTTCCACCTTCAAGGCTGAATAAGTGTTGCATATTCTTGTATAATTGTTGGTTAATTGTTACTAATTCAAGTGAAATATAATTTGCAGTGAAAATAAGAGCTATAGGACCCTTAAGTTAATGAAGCAGCATTTTTTAGCTCAGTATTTTACAATAGCATATCTAGTCAGAATTCATATTTTTTCCAGTAACTCTGATAGTTATTTCTACTTTTTATTGAATATCAGCTTTCATAACTGCCTATTCATTTTCTTTATTAAGAAACTGTATTGTTTCTTTGTTCATCTTGTTAATTTCATGACAATATCCTCTGCTCACAATCACAAGATTATAACTTCAGTGACAGCTATGCTGTGAAATACTCATTTTAAAGATTAATAGTCACTACTTCCAAAAAATTAGAATTTTCAAAATCCTTTGAAGTTAATTCACCCTTGTAGAAATGTTCTTCCAGGCACCTGACTGGCTTAGTTGGTGGAGTATACAACTCTTGATCTTGGGGTGGTGGGTTCGAGGCTCATGTTGGATGTAGAGATTACTTACGAATAAATTCTTCAAAAGAAAAAAAAAGAAATGTTTTTCTATTCCTGTTTCTAGTCAAAGCAGTCTTTTTGTATTTGTATCTATATAAACTATGAAGGCTTTTACCCTGAACTGTGAGAAGTAAAGTATCTTTATTTGGAGACAAATAATTGCTCCCTTCTCCTTTCTTAATAAAATTGAGAGGTTTTAGAGTGAACTCCTTTTCTTTTTTTTTTTTTTTTTCTTTTAAAGATTTATTTATTTATTTGACAGACAGAGATCACAAGTAGGCAGACAGGCAGGCAGAGAGAGAGGAGGAAGCAGGCTCCTTGCTGAGCACAGAGTCCGATGCGGGGCTTGATCCCAGGACACTGGGATCATGACCTGAGCTGAAGGCAGAGGCTTAACCCACTGAGCCACCCAGGCGCCTCTGAACTCCTTTTCTTAATATTCATAGAAAAATCTAATGATGATGTAATAGAGTTGGAGATGTTTGGGCAGGATGCTTCTGCTTTTTTAAACACAAAGGTGTGGGGGTTTTGGGATTGTTTTATGTCTTTTTCTCTTTTAAAATTTTATGCATTTATTTAGAGAGAGAGAGTGCGCGCACACGTGAGCAAGGGAGGGGTTCTGGAGAGAGGGAGAAAGAATCCCAACCAGACTCTGCACTGAGAGCAGAGCCTGAGGCAGACTTCAATCCCATAACCATGAGATCACGACTTGAGGTGAAGTCAAGAGTCCGATGCTTAACTGACTGAGCCACCCATTGGCCCCATGTTTTACGTCTTTGATACAGTGGTGGTGGTAATAGTTTTTGTTGTTGTTTTTTTAAAACAAGTATTTAGTTGCTCATAACCCACAGATTGTTTTTGAAGTGTATTCTTGCCCCCTTTTCTATTAATGCATATTCAATTATTTTCCAAAGAAAAGGATTTTTTTTTAAAAAGATTTTATTTATTTATTTGAGAGACAGAGATCACAGGTAGGCAGAGAGGCAGGCAGACAGAGACAGATGGGGAAGCAGGCTCCCTGCTGAGCAGAAAGCCCATTGTGGGGCTCGATCCCAGCACCCTGGGATCATGACCTGAGCCAAAGGCAGAGGCTTTAACCCACTGAGCCACCCAGGCACCCCAAAAGAAAAGGATTTTACTGTAAATACTGTCTATAGCTATCTCTTTAAATTTAACCATACATTTTGGATAATTTTTTGATGCTTTTAAGTATTCTACAGCAAAGTATTTCACTGTGCGTTTATTGTAGCTTAGCCAGTCCTTGCTGTTTGACCTGTGCAGAATTATAGTAGGTAACTGTTTTGATTGTGGTGTATTATCCTATATGATCCTCACAAATACTGCTTGGTGTAGGTATTTTTATCACCTATTTACAGGTATAAACTGAACCCAGAGATGTTAAGTAATTTGCCCAGATTTTTTAGCTAATTATAATGATGAAGATAATGATAATAGCATTCAGTTATTTGTCAGACACAGTGCTCTGTTCTTTTCATACATGGTTTCATTTAACCCTGATAAGGACCCTAAATGAGGTAGACCCTATAAAATCACTTTTTACAGAAGAAACAGGCTCAGTGAGATTAGGTACTTATTCATGGTCCTAGTTCCAACAAGTAGCACCTGTTTATGACTCCTTTCTAAAATTATGCAGTTGATAGTTTTTGTCCTGCTTTCAACCTCTGCTTATTTCTGAGGAAATAAGTAAAACTTCTAGCAGTGAAAGACACTTCCAGCAAGTTGTCTATCTACCTTGGTTGCCTCATCTCTAAAGTATGGATGGTAATCTCCTTTTATAGGGTTGTTCTATTAAGTGATGACATATACAAAGCACACAGGGTTTATAGTAGTGCTCAACAAATATTCCTGCTATTATTATTTTATCCTGATTATGTAGATTTTTATTCCAGTTATAAAAGCAATAAACGTATATTATAGAAAATGTAGAAAAATATAAAGGAGCTGAGAAAGTAATCAGTCTCACTACTAATGACATTTTGACAGACTTCCAGAAAACTGGAATATTTTTTATATTTAGATTTTTTTTCTTTTTAAAGATTTTATTTATTTGAGAGAGGGAGAGAGCAAGAGAGCACAAACAGGGGGAGGGGCAGGCAGAGGGAGAAGCCGACTCCCTGCTGAGCAAGGAACCAGATGCGGGACTCCATCCCAGGACACAGATCATGCGAAGGCAGACTCTTAACTGATTGAGCCACCCAGGTGCCCCCCCACCCCATATTTAGATCTTTCACTACAAGTGATATACTGGAATTTTTTGTTTATGGGAATATCTCTTCTGATTAATTTCTTCAGGAAGAATAGAGACTGTGATCTTATGTACTATCACAGTTCCTGGCCCACAGTAGGTACTCATTAAATATTTGAATTGTACTATTAGAGCTTTTGTGGTTTTTCAGTTTCTCATCATTAATAACTGTCCTCTGCATTTAAAAAAAAGATTATGAAATGATTTGAATGAAAAAATAAAGATGGTAGATGTGCAGTATGGCTTCAGGAAAACTGAGTTTGCTCTACTTTTGGACGAAGTGGTTAGGTACAGCCATTAAACGTGCTGAGAGCTGAGTAAGAACATTGTGAAATTACATTCTAAAGGTCAGAAACAATTGTTTAATGACTACAGCCTTGAAACAGATGGTTGTCAAAACTTTGCCAGGAAAAAAGTTCAGCAGTAAATTGGCATAGCTCTCTAATCGCTGAGAAAGATGCCTTCCTGTCAGCCTATGGCAGTAAGTGGGAGCTTTTGCCCCCTCCTAAGAAGGTGGTGTCTGGATGCCATGGCCCTTTTGGAGTAATGGCTTCCCTTTAAATCTGAAGTTCTTTCATTGGAAAATATTAAATTGTCTGTGCATAAAGAATTTGAAAGTGGGTGATAGTATGCAAAATCATGAAAACTTAACAATCTGGAACAGGAGGGATTCTTATTTAGTAATCTGTGAATACTGCTTTGGGATATTACTGAAAGCCTTCCCCGTGCATATGAGAGGAACATTCAGACCAAAGTTCTAAGTTAACGTATAAATTATTTTTGACTTAAATGAAAATAGAATAGCTAAATAATAGTTGCAATAAAAAATATCTGAAATTGGGCATGTGGTAACTCTGGAGTTACCTGCCAGAGTCATTAAGACTTAAAACTTCATTTTTACAAGCATGTATAAGCGTTGAAAGTGAAATGGGTGTAAAAAGGAATTCACAGAAAATTAGCTCCCCCACTTTTTTAAAAAGCTTCTTTAAGTGTGTTTTTATTATGTGCAGCTATTTTAGTGAATGGATTAAATACAATTTCAGGTTCAGTTCAGTTTTTCTCACTCGATACACGTCGTTACTAAGAGCTTTGACTTTGGCCTTACAAAGTCCTCATTCTGCACATTCCATACTGCACCGTTCATACTGCACAATTACTCAGGTTATAGTGGCTTTCAGTGCATGTGAGTGTCAGTGTATGCTGCTCCTTAGTGAAATAAGGAACTTGTTGTTGACTGTGCTTAAGTGCAGGAACTTGAGATGTGAATGGAGGGTGCTCTGAGGCAGAGATATTAGCTAAGGATAGTGTTGATGTATACACTGCTTGCCAGGTCTTCATTTCCAGATGAGTTGAAAAAAGAGCAAGATGAAGTTTTAAATTTTAGGATAATATCCCCTTTCAGTAACTGTTGCTGTGTCATTGCCAGCTATTAGAGTTATTAGAGCAGTGACAACTTAAAACAACCGTAATACTGTCACTTATGCTGTGTATGAGAAAATATGGGTGGTGTTTTACTTTATAAAAATTAGTCATTCATTTTAGAGAATTCTAGAGATACATATAAACTTAATGTTAAAAATACTATACTTTCCCAATGACATTTGTTTCATGGTGTTTTCATTATGAGAACAGTTTTTTGTTAAATTTCTGTGCTAAAGAAAATACAAATACTCAAGGACCACACCCCTCCTATACATCACTTCTGTCTGATTAAAATTATTGGCAGATTTCTCGGTTAGTGTTTTGTTAAGGTATTTTAAAATGAAATTTTAAGGATTCTGACACTAAATGCAGGTGGTAGAAAGATTACTAGTAATTGCTGGTCTGAATTTTTCTGATTTCACAGCGTTAAAGAACCAGTGTGAATAGGCTTTTCTTTTTGTTATATTTGTCTTTTGATTTTTTTTTCCTATTTACAAAAGTAAATCCTTTTCTTAGAAAAAATTAGAACATAAAACTCTGTTTTGAGGGGCGCCTGGGTGGCTTAGTTTTAAGCATGACTCTTGCTTTTGGCTGGGGTCATGATCTCAGGGTCTTGAGATGGAGCCCTGTATTGGGCTCTGCGCTGGCTGTGGATCCTGCTTAGAATTTTCTCTCTCCCTCTCCCCCTCCCCGCACTTGCACTTCCTCTCTCTCTAAAATAATATATAAGATCTTTTTAGGAAAATTTTATTTTGGTTCTTAAACTGCGTAATAATTGGCTTATTAGTGCTATGAATGCTGGTTTTGCTAGGCTAAAAATGGGAATGAGAGCGTTATTTGAACAAGGAAAACAAAAGGTATATGTAAGTGCTCTGTGAGTGTGTGTTAGAGTTAAGGGTAGACTCTAGGGGGGTGCAGCCTTGATGAGAGAATTAAAGATGCTTTTAATATTTCATTTTAATAAGTGAAGCTAGTTCAGCATTTAGAAGGTCTTTGTAGTTTGCCTTACACCTCTTTCACCTTTATTTTTTACTGTTTTAACATAAATCCTGGACTTGAGACAAATGGGTCTTGTCCATACTCCCTGATGCACTATGTCCTTTGAAACCTCAGGGATCCACTTTTAGGCTGTTTCTTTTGCCCCTGGAGACTTCCCCCTTTCACCATTGCAAATACTTATGCCCCTCAAAGCTCTTCAAGAGTTGCCTACAAGAACATGTTTTTAATATTTTAAAAATCCACCACATCCTTGAAGATTACAACTTGCTCATATTCGGTATTTAATAATTATTGAGTGAATTATTATGAACATTTTAGATTATTTGTCGTATTTTTATACAATGATAGGAATTTGTCTCAACTTTCAAATGGGTTATTGTACAAGCAAATGTGGTAATACCATTTTTCTAAAAGATTTATTGGGGCACCTGAGTGGTTCAGTCGGTAGGGCATCTGCCTTCCACTTAGGTCATGGTCACAGGGTTCTGGCATTGAGCCCCATGTTGGGCCCCTGCTTAGCAGGGAGTCTGCTTTTCCCTCTCTCTCCCACCGCACTTCTGTGCTTTCTCACTATCTTTTTCTCTCTCAAATAAATAGATACTTAAAAAATATATATATATTTTTAAAATTTATTTTAGAGAGCTTGAACAGGGGGAGGAGCAGAGAGAGAGAAAGAAAGGGAAGCAGACTCCCCAGATCAGGGTGAGTGGCTTGATCTCGACAACCAGAGCTGACATCAGGAGTCAGATGCCTAGCCTACCTGACTGGGGCAGCCAGGCACTCCTATACTAATTCCTTTAGAACAGGGTTTCTCAGTGAGGGGTGCTGTTGACATTTTGGGTTGGATAATTCTTTGTTGTGGAGGGGTTGCCCTTTCTGTTGTAGGATGTTTAGTAGCATCCCTAACTCCCACCCCAGTTGTGAGGACCAACAATAGCTATAAAAATTGCCAAATCACCCCTGGTTGAGAGCAGTTCATTGGAAGAAAAAAGCATATGGATTTCAGGATTCTTAATTATAGCTTATAGTGTGTATGCATGTTGTTTTTGAAGGGTGGCTTTTAAATAGAAATAAAATGTTTCAGAGTTCTTCAAATTTAACCTTGTATAATTCAAGGAAATTATCTCGGGCACTATTAATTCTTAAAAAATTTTATGACTTAAGGAAATTGCATTTGTTTTTTACTGTTTTGTATATTTTACATGAAATAATAAATTTTATTTGGTGTTTCCTCCAGATTGAAATTAAAATGAAAAAGACAGAGGCTGTGAGATGGGAAAAGCTAGAGGGGCAAGGAGATGTGCCTAAACCAAAACAGTTCATAGCAGGTTTGTTGTCTGGCCTTGATGAGCTTTAAATTCATATTGTGTTATATACTTGAAGTTAAATAGTAATGAGCATTCTTTCTATTTTCATTATTTATGTTCCCAAGAACAGATACAGTGAGTGCAATAAGATTGCTCTGTAATGAATACAAAGTGCCTTTTATGTGAAGTGTCTACCTTCTTCAATTCTTCAGCTGAGAATAAGAGAATGCCTGCATAAACCCTGAGGGGGTTGCGTTTTTATTGTTTACCCAGTCGCTGTATGACATTAGTTGAGGGTTGTTTTTGTGTGTTACCCTTTCCTATTGCTTCTTTTTGGGTTGTAAGTGGATTAAAGGTTTATTCTGCTGAAATAATTTCTTCCTCTTTGCTCTCCTTTTTATTTATTCCTTTCTATTTCTTCTGATATTGTCAACTCTAATTTCGTGGACTTTCAGGGCTTCACAGAGTAAAATACCTAACCCATTTCACTCTATTGCTCTTAAAGAAGTGCTCACAAACAGGTCATGAAAACCTAAGAAAAGCCCAGAAGAGTGGAAAACTAGGGTTGATTGTTTTTAACCCTATAAGGAACAGGCTACTTACTTGGGATCAGTTTTAAGCCTATGCAGTAGACAGCTATTTTTCTAATGGAATGATTAATCTGCTTAGATACTGTTAGAACTACAGTCTGAGAGTATGTTTTATAGCAATGCCCTCATTAAGGAAAGGAGAGAAAATTTTTTTGATTAATGTTCTGATTTGATGACTAAAATGCTACTTATAGATTTTTTCACTGCTCTTTCTGTAACAGAAAATAGAATTCTTGTGGCACCTTTTAGAAAACACTGAGTTAGCCAACAAATCCTTCATTATATATTTTTAATTTATTTTTTTATTCATTATATTTTATTTTTATTTTGAAATAATTTTAGATGTCCCTAGAAGTTGCAGAAATGATAAGTTCTCATGTACCCTTCACCCAGCTTCCCTGCATAATAACATCACAACTAGTCTGTTGTGTAATTAGCAAAACCAGAAAGTTGACACCAACAGATAATTTTTAAGGATTGAAATATTTGAAGTTGGTATGTAGGCTGTTAAGCTTCTGCTTCACATTTTATTTTAAAAGACAGGAAAGATGTTATGTGATTCTTTTGGGTCTGACTCCCAGAGATTTGGGGGCTGAGGTTTATATAGAGCTCAAAAAGCGTTTAAAAAACAAAAACAAAAAACTTTAAATCTTACTCAGTTCTAACAACAGTCCTCTATAGGAGGCAGCCCTGTTTTGCAGGGTCTAAAAGTAAGCAACTTGCTTAAGATCACCCAGCAGTTTTTGTGGTCTAGGACTAAACCCTGGTCTTCAGGGTCTTAGTCTGGTCCTTATATAAACCCTCTATGTGATGCTGGTTGTTGCTGCATCTTCTAACAATGGAAAAAAGTCTCTGCTGACCTGAGAATCTTTGCAGTTATTTGATATTATAATGAATGAACAAGGAAGTTAGGTTACCCATCCATTCCTCAGTAGTTTATCCACCATCTACTGGTGGTAAAGTTTTCTGAGATTAAATATGGAGATTTTTTTAGTGTTGTAGTTGCAGAGTTTTTATAAACTCAATGCCTTGGATATTTCAGATGTTATTCCTTCTGTCTTGTTATATTTTTGTAAGGAATTGATATGCTTGTCAGATTTCCATGTCCTTCAGGCTGGAGAGTGCAGATAAGGGCAAGTTGTTTAACCTTTCTGGACCAGTTTTCTTATCTGTAAAATGGAGGTTAGAATCTGTTCCCTTTCTTCTAGGGAGTCAGCATTAGGATTAATTAAACCCATGCTTTTTTAGGCTCTTAATTTAATACAGCATACTTTTTTTTTTTTGCTTTCTTTGGCTACTAGTGAAAATGCACATAGATCGAGAGGGGATTACTGGTAGAAAAGGGTAGATCGGAAAACTATATGCTTACCCTAAACAAAACTATGTGGGGTGCTGTTTGGTTTTGTTTCTCTGGGGAGATAGGCAGGGAGGAAGTTGGCTTACAGGTGAAAAGAAGGGATGGAACAACAGACTGAACAGTTGGTAGTTTCTCATTTTTGAACTATTTTGAGGAAAGAGGGACATGTTGTATGTTCTAATTTATTAATAGGAAAACTTTGAGTTCGGTTTTTTAAAGCTCTGTGGCTACACTGTCCAGTATAGTGACCACATGTACCTGCTGAGCGTTTGAAAATGACTGGTTTGGATTGAGTTGTGCTGGAAGTATAAAATACCAGATTTTGAAGACTCTATGAACGGACATAAACTCTTAATATATTTATATTGATCCATGTTGAAGTGATTGCGTATATTAGGTTAAATAAAATATATTACTAGAACGCATTTCACCTGATTCTTTTTAGTATCATGGCTACTAGAAATTTTTAAATTATGTATGTGGCTCACATTTGTGGCCTATGTTGTATTTCCATTGGAGAGTGAACACAACTGCTCTTATAGCTACTAGGTAGATTACTTTTTAATTACTCGGGTGCCACCATCTTGATTCCCTTAGTCTTTGGGATAGCCCTGGCAGTGCCCTGAGCTGCTGAGCCAGTCAGTAGCCTCTCTGGTTTTAAGAAGCCTTGATTTACCTCAGTGTGTCCTACAGGTACTATTATTTTCTGTGTGTGCATGAGTGAGCATTGAACTCTAAATGATCACATGGTGTATTTTTCAACATTCAAGAATTGCTTATTATCTCCTATTGAAATAATTAATAATTTAATTATTAAATTAATTATTTAATTTTTTATATTAAATAAATTTAATGGAGTCTTAACTCAAGGATGGAGTCTTAACATCTAATGGCATGGATAATTATATATTCAGTTTATCTCTACTCTGAAAGAGGCACATCAAAAAAGCCACGTTTTTAACATTTATTAAAATTTACTTAGAAATTTCTTAGTGAAGCATTATTTAAAAACACTTTTTAGAATTGTACTATCTCAGCAACTTTTCTGTAAATATAAAAGTTCTAATATATTTTTCACTCAGTTCCCTCATTTTTAATACAAAGAATGTTTTTAATCTAATTCTGTAATATGTACCAAAAACATATACTTCATTAGATTTTGCTCAAAAGAAATTCCTGGATTTTACATTACACTGATTCAGTTTGTAGAAGTGTAAATCTGATTATTGATTTATATATCAGAAAGACATTTATTATGAAATTTAGTGACCTAAACTATTTTCTATGATGTTCTGTATGTCATGGTCACAAAGTTTACATATTCTTGACATAATCATCATATGTTGATTAATCACATCTATCTTTTTTACTCCATAGATGTAAAGAACTTATATCCGTCATCATCTCATTATACAAGAAATTGGGATAAATTGGTTGGTGAGATCAAAGAAGAAGAAAAAAATGAGAAGTTGGAGGGAGATGCAGCTTTAAACAAACTATTCCAGCAGATCTATTCAGATGGTTCTGATGAAGTGAAACGTGCTATGAACAAATCATTTGTAAGAACCTAAGCTTGAAAAACATATACTGTGGTAGTACTCAGAAATTTTAAAAGAAAGATTAATTAGGCAATTTGAAACCATATTGCATATATTGTGGTTGGGAGGCCTTTTTGAATAGGCTTCATCTGAACATTTCTTTCTGCTCTAAACTAAGAGTAATTATTGGGGAAGTTGGAAACTTGTCGGGGAGTTGAGACGCAAGTGGTTTATTCCAAATATTTTTTAATTACTGAGTTAGAACTTGGAAGGCTTAAGGAAATACTCTAATTACTGTAGTTGGATTTATCACAATAGCTGAAGGAATCTCCATTAGAACCATATATAGTGGCCTCAGTGTCAGAGATGAAGAATATAGACAGGAAACTGCCAGAACAGTGTTTGGCAAGTAGCAGGTGCACATTAATTACTCATTGGTTTGTTAATGATTTATCTGTTGATTAAGGAAATAAGCACCAGGACAGCATAAATACCACCTAAATTCAAGGCCTTAAGTTCTGAGATTTTAATAACAAGTCATCTCTATAGAACTAGGTTGATTATTTTCCTGTAGTTATAATCATTTGACTTTTATCAGTAGTTTTGGAAATGTCACTCTTTTCTAAGGCATTTATATTCAAATTAGTATTTAGTTAATATATGTCTTGGAGACTTAGATATTCTACAGAAGTTACCCTGTTGTAACTGCTCGTGACTGAGCATTTCACTGTTGATTTTAAAACGTGTTTCTAATTAAACTTTTTATGTTGAAATAATTATAGATTTATATGCAGTTGTAGGAAATAATGTAGATAGAGATCCCTTGTATCCTTTACACAGTGTCCCCTAGTGGCATCATCTTGCAGAACTACAGTAGTGTATCACAACCATGATATTGACAGTCAGATGAAGAACATTTCCACTGCCACAGGATTCCTTCAGTGTAGTCATTTTATAGCCATACACACAGCCACCCTGCCCTTCCTTAATTCCTGGCACCACTAATCTGACAGGTCTTTGTGAGATACATAGTGTGTAGATATTTTCTCTCAGTCTGTACTTTGACTTTTTATTTTCTTAATAGTCTTTTGCAGAGCTAAAGTATTCAATTTTGATGAAGTTCAATTTATCAGTGTTTGCTTTTATGGATTATGCTTTTATTATCAAGTCTCGAACTCTTTGCCTAGTCTTAGATCTGAAAGATTTTTTCCTGCGTTTTTCTTTCAATAAGTTTTATGGTTTTACATAATACGTTGAAGTCCATGATCCATCTTGAGTTAGTTTTTTTTATATGAAGTTGAGATGTAGGTTGAGGTTTTTTGTATGTTTTGTTTTTAGCCTGCCTGTGTTCATTTGCACCAGAACCATTTGTTGAAAAACTCTTTCTAACATTGAATTGTTTTTGTGTTTCTCAAAAGTTACTTGAGTATATTTGTCTGTTTCTGAGTTCTCTTTTTCATCGACCTACATGTCTCCTTCCGTTAATACTATAGTCTTGATTATCTCAGTTATGAAAGTTTTGAATCCAGGAAGAGTCATTCCTTCTGCTTTGTTAGTCATTTTCAAAATTGTTTTAGGTATTCTAGTTCTTTTGCTCTTCCTCATAAACTTTAGAATATTTTGTGTATATATGTACCAAAACATCCTGTTAGGTATCGCATTGGACTATATATCAGTTTGGAGAGATTGACATTTTTACTGTGTTGAATCTGCCAATTCATTTATTTAGATCTTTGATTCTTTCATCAGCGTTGTGCAGTTTTCTACATGTAAATCCTAAATGTTTTGCAAGAGATACCTAAGTATTCGTTTTTGAGTGATTGTAAATTGTATTGTATATTTAACTTTGGTGTCCTTGTGCTAGTGTTTAGAAATACAGTTGGTTTTTGTTTATCTTATATTCTGTGACCTTGCTAAACTCGTTTATTCTAGGAAATCTTTTGGTAAGTGTGGGTTTCTCTGTAGATAGTCATATTTTCAAGTAAGGACTTTTAAATCTGATATTTGTGACTTACATCTTTTTTTTGCTTTATTGCAATGGCTGGAACTTCTGGCACTATGTTGAATAAGAGTGGTGAGAGTGGACATTTATGCCTTGTTCCCATTTTAAGGGAAAAACCAGTCTTCCACCATTAATTACAATGTTAGTGGTAGGTTTTTTGCAGATGCTCTATCAGGTTGAAGGTCTCTATTCCTTGTGAGATTTTTATCATGAATGGCTGTTGACTTTTTGGAAGATAGCTATTAGCTAGCTGTGCTTTTTGAATGCTTTTTTGGCATTGATTAAAATGATTATGTGATTTTTTTTCTTCTTTAACCTGTTACAATGGTGATTTTATATGATTAGTATATTTCAGCTAAAACCCTGCTAAGAGGGAAATTTATACCATAAACATACACAATAGAAAACAGAAAGTCAAATCAATAATCTAATTCACATCTGAACAACCTAAGAAGATAGCAAAATAAACCCAAAGCAAGCAGATGGAAGAAAATAACAACAGAAATGAATGAAATTTATAATAAAAATTATATTTTATTTATTGCATCCTTGGGATAAGCTTCATCTGGTCATGGTGTATAATTCCTTTTATATATATCGCTCAGTTCTACTTTCAGATACTTTGTTAAAGATTTTTTAATCTATGTTCATAAGAGATATATTTTTTTTTATGTCTTTGTCTGATTTTGGTATCTGTGTAATACTAACTTCATAAAATGAATTGGGAAGTACTCTGCTGTTTTTTGGAAGAGATTGTGTAGAATTGGTGTTAATTTTTCTTTAAACTAGTAAAATCATCTGGGCCTGGACATTTCTTTTTTGTCAAGATTTTAAATTACTTAATTATTCTAGGGGTGCTTGTGTGACTTAGTGGGTTAGGCCTCTGCCTTCGGCTTAGGTCATGATCTCGGGGTCCTGGGATCGAGCCCCGCATCGGGCTCTCTGCTTGGCAGGGAGCCTGCCTCTCCTTCTCTCTCTGCCTGCCTCTCTGCCTACTTGTGATCTCTCTCTCTCTATCAAATAAAATAAAAAATAAAAATAAAAATAAATTACTTAATTATTCTAATAGCTTTGTAGGACTGTTCCAGTTATCTGTTTCATATCATTGAGTGACCTGTGGCAGTTTGTGTTTTTGAGCATTTTATTCTATTTAGTTTGTCTAACCTGTCAATGTTGGTAGTATTTTCTTACTATTTTTATTTTGCTATCTACAGGGTCTCTAGTGATACTCCATTTCATTCGTATGGCGGTAATTCGTGTCTTTTCAGTCTTGATACAGAGGTTTGTCAATGTCAATGAATTTTTTTCTTTCCACAGAATCAGCCCTTTGTTGACTTAGGAATAGATTTTCTTCTATTCTTTATTATAAATTTCATTTGTTTCATAAATTTCCCTCTTAGCAGGTTTTTAGCTGTCTCTAAATGTCTAAATGTCTTCTAATGTTATATTGTCATTCACTTTAATATGTATTTTGATTTCAGTTGAGACTTCATCACATGGATTGTTTAGAAGTGTGTTGTTCAGTTTCCAAATGTTTGGAGATTTTCCTGTTACCTTATTATTGGTTTCTGATTTTATTCCATTGTGATTTGAGATTATATACAATGTGATTTACATTGTTTCATTGCCCAGCATTCAGTCTATCTCAAGTTTATGTTTCGCTTGAAAAGAAGGTGTATTCTGTTGTTGGAAGGTGTGTTCTGTAGTTGTCTGTTAGATCTTGTTGCTTGATACTGTTGTTGAATTCCTCTGTATCCTTGCTGATTTTGTCATATTGTTCTGTCAATTTTTGCTTCACATATTTTGCAGCTCTGTTTGGTTCATATGCATTTAGGATTGCTGTATCTTCATGGTAGATTGACCTTTTTATCATATATACATGTCATTCTCTAGCTCTGGTAATTTTCTTTGCTCTGATACTAATATAGCCAATTCTCCTGTCTTTGATTAATCTTTGCATGATGTGTTGTTCTATTCTTTTGTTTCTAACCTGTCTATATCATATTTAAGTTGATTCCTTCTGTATTAAAGTGAGTATCTTGGAGATAGCATATAGTTGGGTTGTTTTTCATCTCTTCTGCCAGTTTCTGTCTTTTAATTGATGTATTCAGATAATTTACATTTAATGTAATTATTAATTAGGACTTCAGGACTTTAATTCTGCCATTTTCTTTTTTTGTTCTGTGTTTTGTTTTTGTTTTTCCTGCCTTCCTCTGAGTACGTTTAAATATTTTTTAGTTTCATTTTTATTTATTTGTAAATTTTTTAGTGTTTCTTCTTTGTATAGGATTTTTAGTGGTTGCTTTGTATGCTAGCTATATTATACATAGCTTATCATAGTTTACTGGTGTTATTTTTAAAAGATTTTATTTATTTATTTGATAGAGATCACAAGTAGGCAGAGAGGCAGACAGAGAGAGAGGGGGAAGCAGGCTCCCTGCTGAGCAGAGAACCCAACATGGGGCTCAGTCCCAGGACCCTGAGATCATAACCTGAGCTGAAGGCAGAGGCTCAACCCACTGAGCCACCCAGGTGCCCCACCTGGTGTCATTTTTTTTGTCAGTTTGAGTGAAGTGTAGAAACCTTACCACCCCCCCATGTCCCTTTAACCTTTCTCATTTATAATTTTCACAAGTATTTCTTCTACATACTTTTAGAACCACATTATACAGCATTATATTTTCATTCAACTTTCAAACATAATTTAGAAAGCTCGAGAAAAAAGCAAATTCTATTTTATTTGTTGTCTTTTTTTCATTTCTAATGTTCTAAGATTCTGTCATTAGGTTTTTCTTATTTTAGAGAACTAAATTTAGGCATTCTTTTTTTTAAATAATTATTTTATTATTATTTTTTAAGTAGGCTCCATATCTAGAGTGGATCCCAGTGTGGGTTTGAACTCAAGATCTGAACTGAAGTTGAGTCGTATGCTTAACCAGCTGAGCCACTCATGTGCCCCCTGGCATTCTTTGAGATCTGCCTGTGACAAATTCTGTCAGCAGGGATTTCTTTAGTTTTATCCTGATTGGGGTTTGTTGAATCTCTAGGTTTATATGTCTTTCCAAATTTGGGAAATATTCAGCCATTATTTCAGATCTACCCTCTTTGTCTTCTTCCTAGAACCTGATGATATAAGATAAATATTTTGTCACAGTTTCACACATCCCTGGGACTTTCTTCATTTTATTTCTCATTTTTCTCTGTTGTTCTGATTAGGTGATTTATATTGTCCTGTTTTCAGGTTCATTGATTCTTTTCTCTATCCCGTCTCTTCTGTTCTTTAGCCTATCTACTTAAGCTTTTTACTTCAATTGTAGTTTTTAATTCTAAAACATTTGATGGTTCTTATATCTTTTTTTCTTTGCTGAATTTTTCTATTTTTCATTTGTTTCAAGCAAGTTCATGATTTCTAGTTAAAACATTTTTTATTATGACTAAAATCTTTTGTCAGATAATTTTAACATTTATCATATCTCTGAATTAGCCTCTGTTGGTTGTCTTCTTTCTTGAAAAAATAGAATCTGAAATTTTCCTTCTGCTTTTTTTTTTTGACCAGCAATAAGTGATTTTTCAGTTGTAACTGGGATGTTTTCATGTTCTGCAGTGAGACTGCATCTTATTTAAATCCTCTATCTTAGGGATGCCGGGGTGGCTCATCTGGTTAAGCATCTCCCTTCAACTCAGGTCATGAACCAGGGTCCTGAGATCGAGTCCTGCATCAGGCTTTCTGCTCCTCAGGGAGCCTGCTTCTCCCTCTACCTGCCGCGCTCCATTCTTGTGCATGCTCTTTCTCTCTCTGGGAAATAAATAAATAAAGTCTTTAAAAATAATAAATCCTCCCATCTTATTTGGCTTTCTCTGCCAGTTATTCTGTCAGAGGACGGGAAGGCACTGCCTCGTTATTGCTAGGTGGAGGTAGAAATCCAGTATGCTAATCAGCCTCCTTAGACATCCCAGAGCATCTCTTTGTTACTACTGGGAGTGGGATATAGATACCTATATGGTTTTCACTGATACCACAGGTGGCAGAAGAGGTGGGTCCATGATAGCCTAGCATGGATGGAAGTCTGGGCTCCTCACTCAGCCTTTACTGGCCTTGAGCGGGGATGGGACCACAGGTTTTTCTGTGGTGTCTAGTGCAGTAGAGCAATTATAGCATAAAACTTTTCTGTCTTCCTAAGCTATCTTTTTGTCTTTCTTCATCGTTTAGCTAGAGAAACCAGGTTTCTCTTCAAGATTTTTTGTTTGTGTGCCTCTTAGTGTTTCTAGCTTCTTTAGGAGCAACTCTAGGACATGGGGCAAAAAGGAAAACCCAGGGGACTCACCACCATGTTACGTTGTTCTTTGGCTCCCAAGGTCCTTAGCTGACCTTCTTCCCTTCATCTTTTAGAGTCTTACGTTTGTTTACATATATATAATGTCCAAAGTTTTTAGTAGTACTTAGTAGAAAGAATAGGATAAAGTATATCTACTCTGTGTCCCCAGGAAGGGAAGTTAGTTTCTTTATTGACTTTTTTAAGGGTATGCTAGAAAGAATAGCAGTGTGTGAAATTTCAAAGATAGATTATAGAATCTGCATCCATTTTCATACAGAGGCTTTGCTAATAGTGAATGAACCACGTACACCCATAAAACAAGCCATCTAGAACATACCAAGTACTTTTGGAAAGACAAGCAAAGTAGACTTTGTCATCTATGATCTTGCAGTCTAATTGGGACAAAAGACCAACATGTACAAAATAATGAGAAGGAAATGCTGAATTGCACTGTAGTCCATAAAGAAAGAGGGGGAAATAAATGTCATCAGTAAATATCAGATTATAAGCTAAATTTGCTTTCTTCATCTTCATAGGAGTAGTTTATTCTATAGAATTTATCTCTTTTCAAATTTTTCAAAGTTTTTAAATTCCAGTTAGTTACTATACATGTAATATTGGTTTCAGGTGTACAAAATAGTGATTCAGCACTTCGGTATACCACCCGGTACTCATCACAAGTGTACTCCCTATTCCTTATCCCCTGTTTAACCCATGCCCCCATCCACCTCCCCTCTGGTAGCTATCAGTTCTCTATAGTGAAGTATGTGTTCCTTGGTTTGCCGCTCCTTTGGTTTCTTAAATTTGCCTTTTTTTTGTTTCTTAAATTCCACATATTAGTGAAATCACAAGGTATCTGTCTCTGACTGACTTATTTCAGTTAGCATAATACTCTCTAGCTCCATCCATGTCATTGCAAATGGCAAGATTTGATTCTTTTGTGTGTGTGTGTGTGTGTGTGTGTGTGTGTGGCTGGGCAATAATCCATTGTGTATGTATACCACTTTTTCTTTTTTTCTTCTCAGATGTGGGTCAGGATTAGATTAGGGTTTTATGGCCAGAGTTAGGGTTAGGGCCCGGGTAAGGGTATATGCCTTGTATCTGCAATTTAGAGAACTCTCTAGAGGACTCGATGACATTAGGATTGGGGTTAGGGCTTAGGGTTAAGGTTAGGGGTTTATGATGTTAGTGGGTTTATATTAATGAGAGAGTATGTTACTTGAATGACAGTTTCTACACAGTGTAGTTCAGTGAGGTATGCACAAGGCTCATGCTATATGCGGCTCATGTGTTTACATATACTTATATCTGAATGAAAGAAGATGTTACTTAAAACATACACTGTATACTTCCACTCAGGTAAGAATAGGTCCGTTCTCATATGCTTCTACACATTACATTTACAAACATACATATCAATATTTTATTTGAAGTCTACCACGTGCCGTTGTGGCTTAGATCTAGGATATAAGTGTTAGCAAAATATGTTACTTGCCTTGGTGGAGCTCTCAGCTTTAGTAGGAACCAAGGGTACTAAGCAGATAAAGCAGACCCTTAAAATTCTTAACAGTGTAGTGTAATGCATATTACATTAATGGTAATTATGATCATAAAGAATACAAATTCTACAAAGGTAGAGTCCTGATTAGGGTCAAAGGAGGCCACAGAGAAATGGTGATATGTCATGTTTAGAGGATAGCTAAAGAATATGGAAAATAAATGGGTGGCAAAGAACATCTCATGCAAAGCAACCCATGTAAGGGAGCTTGACAGGGAGTGTGAGGCATGGGGTTACATGGAGGTTCCAGTGTAGTAGTGGGGTTTGTAACTATATACATATGCCAGCAGCACAGCTGATGATGTAAAAATGTTTAGATTTTGATAATTCATACTGTTTTTCGCTGTGATCCAAGTCAGTTTAATTTTTAATTGCATTAAGATAACAAATGTCCAGAGTTTTTTAGAATGTACTTATGAATATGCTAAGGTTGTTGGTAGGTGGTAAATTCTATTAATGGTAAATAGATAATCAGTTCTTTAGTGAGATACACATTTTATGTACTCATGCGTATGCACATTGATTTGAAAACTTTCCAGCATTCCCTTGTATATATTTGCCACATTAAGGGGATCTTAAAAGCTCTGTCCAACTTAAAAAGAAAGAGTTTACTTTGCCTGGTCTTTACTATCTTTAACAAAAGAGATTAGTCATTTTCTTGGGGAGCCAATTTTGTTTTCATCAGAAGGTAGATTTTCCACATTTACCTCAATTCTGGTTAGCCGAGGGAGATGTGCTTTTTATTTATATGACTGTGTATGAACATGATGCCTTCTGCCTAATTTATCTGGAAAGCCTAAAATTAAATCGAAGTATTGTCTTATGTTTATATTGAGCCAAACATAGCTTATATTTAGAACACTATACTTGAAACAGTTTTAGAAAAATACTCTGTTTTGATTATATGGTCCAAGGATTAATCTATTTTTATTTCTTATTACAGATGGAGTCTGGTGGTACAGTTTTGAGTACCAACTGGTCTGATGTAGGTAAAAGGAAAGTTGAAATCAATCCTCCTGATGATATGGAATGGAAAAAGTACTAAATAAATTAATTTGCTATCACTGTATTGCATATATTCACCTATGCCCATTGTGTATTAATATCGCATTCTTGAATTTTGAACTCTGAGTATCTTTTTGAAAGGTTATACCTCTTTACCTCTTTGTGCTTTAAAAATCATTTTCCTTCCAAGTGTTAAAAGATTCTAATGAAGAACGAAGATCATATTTTAACACTTTTGTCCTTAAGGATTTCAGACATGCCAAAATGGAATGAAGTATCATTTGCTACTGGATAGGTTAGTTCTACCTAGTTATGGAAGTGGAAAAATCATTAATGGGATATCTTGGGTTATTGCCTTATTTTTGATGGAGTATTCTGTTAATAATTTATTAGATTTGGCAGTTTGGGTGAGCATAGATTTTTTTCAACTTCCATGTTACCTTGTTTGCTTTTAAAAAATGCTTTTGGATGGAGTTGTAAATACAATTTTTCTATGAAGAAGCTTGGTTTATTTACCTTTTTCTTAAGTTTTATAATGAGAACTTTGAGAAATTATCACAGGGAATTCCTGTTTGGTTATTTTTATGGGAAATATTTGTAATTACACTGAGATTTTGGTCCTTACCTTCCAAATTCCTGTATAAAACTTAAGACATCTGAGTTTAACATGCTGCAAATTTATCCATACTGAAGGGTAATCTGTGAATTTGGGTCTAAGAGTTATTTTGGAAAGCCCAATGCTACTTCTGGCTGGGTTTTTTTTTTTGTTGATTTTTTGTTTGTTTTGTTTTGTTGGATTTGTCCGCCCTCCCCGCATCAGGAGGTTTAAAATTACTGATGGTTTGTTTTGTTTTGTTATTTTGAATTTTTTTCTATATTTTTTTCTTTATTAGAGTATTTCTCATCTCACATCTCCATAATTACTTGGTTTCAGTGGTTTAAGGTAGCTGCTGAGAGAATAAATTAATAGGTATATATTTAGTATGTACTCTATTTCTAGAGTAGATACCGTGGGAATACAAAAAGTAAAGACACGTTCATTAACTTCAAAGAGCTTATAATCTAGCAGAGAAAAAATTAACATTCATGAAAGAATTATGGAATGGCTGATTGCTGAACTCATTATAAATAGAGTCTTGAGACAGAAAAATAGTGTGTTATGATTAAAATTCTTTGCAGTCTGAGCTGTTACAAAGTATAGGCCAATGATGACATGTAGGTCTGAGTTTGCTTTTTGACCATAATTGTTGAATTGTTGAGGTTGGTGTCTATTAGATCTCACAGTACGTTAAGGCATTCCTGTATCCTTCTAGCTTAGGATAAGGTAGATCAGAGGCAAATCAGGCTTTGAGTCAGCCTCCGAAAGAGTGAGAATTCAGTCCCTTCCATCTATTCGTTTGACTTGAAATGTAGCAGGGTTCATGAGGAAAATGGTGATGGGGTGATACCTGACTACCCAAACCTCTTACAGCCTATTAATGCACCTGGGAGTTTTCACTTCTCCTTCTGCCCACTTACGGCTACAGGCTGCTTTTTTGGTTCTTCAGCACTGAAGGAAAAGGCAAAATTAATTTCTTCCTTGTGTGAATTTCTACAGTTTTCTCCTTAAGGAAATTAGATAGTGTTCTGTGTGGCACAGTTTCTCAGAACCGTTAGTTCTCAGGGGTGGTTAGGGAGGCCAATGCTACAGACACATAAGTTGAGCAACAGCACTACACCAGGGACAAGAATCCTAGCTTCAGCAAATCTCTGCCACTAATTACCTTTATAATCTTCAGCAGGTTTAGCCTTTCTATGTCTTAGTTCCTTTATTTGTAAATAATCTTTAGGGCCTTAGAGTTAAAAGTCCATGATTATTTTTTTCTAACATTTTATTTGTTTATTTGAGAGACAGTGAGAGAAACAGAGCACGAGAGTAGGAGAGGGTCAGAGGGAGAAGCAGATTCCCTGCTAAGCAGGGAGCCTGACATGGGGACCGATCCCAGGACCCCAGGATCATGACCTGAGCTGAGGGCAGACGCTTAACCAACTGAGCCACCCAGGTGCCCCTAAAAGTCCATGATTCTAAATAAACATTTTTGTTGCTTAAGAGCAGCTTTTTTCTTTCTTAGGAATGACACTATTGTAATAGAAATTGGTTTTTTAAAAATTCTAGTACTGTTTACAAGGATGCATCATATCCACAGTATGTTTATCTGTTGGCTAGATTTATTTAATATTTGGGACTCAGGATTTGCTGAGCCAAATGGAGTTCCTAATATACGTGAGTATAAATGGACCTGGTCCAAGTACAACAGACTTATGGTGAAGAAGGGACTTATGAGAAGTAGGTTAGAGTGCTGCCTTAAAGTACCACTCTGAAGTACTGCTTCTCTTTCACCCTTTTAGATAATGAGAATTTTTAAGCCTCCAGAAAGTTAAAAAAACAAAAACAAGAAATCAATTAAGAGCCTCTTTATCCTTATTCTCTATATTCTCAGATATTAATTGCTCTCTTTTTCTTTCTAGACTTCCATTTTCAGTTCTTAAATTTTGGTTTTCTTAGTGTTCTGGTTAACCTTTTATTTCTTTTTTTTTTTTTTTTTTTAAGATTTTATTTATTTATTTGACAGAGATCACAAGTAGGCAGAGAGGCAGGCAGACAATGAGGTGGGAAGCAGGCTCCCTGCTAAGCAGAGAGCCCGATGCGGGACTGTATCCCAGGACCCTGAGATCATGACCTAAGCTGAAGGCAGAGGCTTTAACCCACTGAGCCACCCAGGTGCCCCTAACCTTTTATTTCTTAAGAAGATACTTTTTTTTTTTCCTTTTAGTATTTCTTATTTTCCTTTTTAAGGTTTAGTACTGGAATATGTTTTTTTCTTAATCTTAGCTTTTTCATCTCTTCTGATTTTTGTAATCATCTGCACCTTGATGACTTCCCAGAATTCTCACACTTACCTTCAAAGAATTTTGAACAAGGTAATCTACTTCTTTGAACTCTTCTATCAAGTAATCTCTTGAGATGGCTATATAGGGTCAATTTTGATAATTTTCTGTCTGTCCTAACCCATTCAGAGTTGATTGCCAGCTGTAAGAGAGTCAGCATTGGCAATTACAGGCCACTTTAAAAAATAATTGGTTTTCTCTATCTTTAATGGAATGGAGAGAAAGGATGGTTTGCATTGATAACTACATTTTGAAAAATATTTCATCTCTTAGATTTGTGATATTCGCTAACTTCAGAACATTGAATGATTATTGTCTCCCTGAGGCTACTATAATAGAGCAAGGGAGAAAATTGGATTGTCTTATAAATATATTTATAAATTTATAAATTTTATAAATTTCAAATATTTAAAGTGGGGTATGTCAATATATTACTACAAATAAGTAGATATGTTAATTTAGTTCAATACTTAAATATTATTTAGCTATTCTTACCCATTTTACTTTCCTTTTCTCCTTCCCCCATTATCTACATAATCAGAATAGATCATTGATTTCTGAGATCTCACTGATTCAAAGCAGTAATGCCTATCAGTTTACCATCCGATCTGCCTAATGCCCTTTAGCTGTACTGGGATCTTCCTTGTCCAAATTAGTGTGCATGTCTCTGACTTGTAGCTATTACTGACATTTCCAAGAATATTCAGAAAATATCTGGGTGAATGGTTGGTTAAGAGAGCTACTTTTTTTTTTAACCATCTCTAACGAGGTTTACCTTTAGACATTCACACCTGTTACTATGTGGTCTCATAAGAATGGATTTTGGTTATCTGTGGCTCGGAGGAACCAAGGAGAGGAAATAATAAAAGCTTAAAAGGACAAAATAGTGGTGTCTGTGTCGGAAAGAGTGAAGTAGTTCTGAATGAGAGATCATTAGCATTGATCTGGTTTCCTTTGTCTCCAACTATGCATACTCTATTGTAGGTTCATTTTAAACCAAGAGATTTAATTTTGGAAATGTCTGGGAACTTGTGGGTAAATTAGAAATACTGATTTATTGGGGCGCCTGGGTGGCTCAGTGGGTTAAAGCCTCTGCCTTCGGCTCAGGTCATGATCCCAGGGTGCTGGGATCGAGCCCCGTGTCAGGCTCTCTGCTCAGCAGGGAGCCTGCTTCCCTTCCTCTCTCTTTGCCTGCCTCTCTGCCTACTTGTGATCTCTGTCTGTCAAGTGAATGGATAAAATCTTTAAAAAAAAAAAAAAAAAAGAAATACTGATTTATCCACAGATGTTACTGTTTGGGACCATCCTTGTGATCTGCTTCTGAAATTAACTCTTAGGCTTTCTTCCTACCTCAGTGAACGTGCCCCCCAAATCAAGCTAAAATCCTGTACATTGCTTACACATTAGGGCAGTAGCAGTGGTAGCTATTCTGTACTAGTACATTTTATGGGCCAGGTGTCACTAAGTGCCATGTGTACACTACCTCATATATAACAGCCTTGTCAAGTAGTGATAGCATCTTATTATAGATTAGAAAAATGAGGCCAAAGTTAAGTTCTTTGCCCAAATTTACTCCACTGATAAATAATGCAGCAGGGATTTGAACGCAGACCTGTCAGACTCCAGTGCCATGCTTTAACTTCCTCTTGAGGTTTATGAGTTGAGTGTACAATGAGTGATTGTTATTATCTACCTGAGAATGAAGCCAAAAATGTGTAAGTTGAATTATTTAATTCTGCTTGTTTGTGGGCTGGGAATGTATTTTCTTTCTTTGTCTTTCTGTCTTTTCTTTCTTTGCTTTCTTTCTGAGAGAGCAAGTGTGGAAGGGGAGTGGCAGAGGGAGAGAATCCCAAGTCAGCTCCATGCCCAGCACAAAGCCCAAGCAAGGCTCCTTTCCATGACCCCAAGATCATGACCTGAGCCATAATCAAGTGTTGGACACTAAGCCGGCTGAGCCACCCTGCTACCCCTAGAAAGGTATATTTGTAAATGTCAGAATATTATCAGTTTTTAAGTGGGAAAACTTACTAGGAACCCAAATCTCTTGCTTATGGAAGGTAATATAAGCAAGTTACCTTGATTTGTGTTGAAGGTGCTGGGTTGTTGTTGTTGTTGTTGTTGTTGTTTTTTAATCTGGGTAATCACAGAGAAACAAAATACCCTTAACTGTTACAGGTATAAGAAGACTGACCCATCATACTGATGAAATTCTTAGGATAATAATCTCCACTTTGTGAGCTGTTAGGAATTAAGTGAGTTGTTTATTTTAATCCAGAAGGCTCTAAAAACTAAATTTATGTGTGAGCTTACAGTATAAAGTCATATTTTGCCACACAAATATTAGTATGCTTAATTAGAGAATGCTAACACAGATCCTGCTGATGTTAAAAAAATAAAATATCTGTATTCTAAAATCCAAAATTTGGAATTGTAGAAACACATCTGACTCCCAAGGGATTTGAAAGAATTATGTACCTGTATATTTAAAGTGCAAAGAGCAGTGCTTAATGTTACAGATAATGTCAGGTTGTTTTGTGGTTTTTTTTTTTAAGATTCTGTTTATTTATTTAGAG